AACAAAACACTCGTTAACTTTTTTTGTTTAAAGGAAAGATTTGTGTCCATGAGACCATGACTGCCAAATTTTTAAATAGATTCGGTAAATAGTAAAAACGAGAAGTCAAAAATGGTAAAAGAAGAGAATCTACATAGTAATGAATTTGAATTCTATGCACCTCTATAAATAAAGGGAAATTGAATTCTCTACACCTTCACAAATGAAGAAATTTTAACATTTTCAGTTTTTAAATTAAATTTTGCCAGTTTGTATAAAACTTCATGGGGGATTTAATGGTTATGGTCCCTGAACCCATTTCCAGGTTTCTTAGCTCTTTAACATAACCAAAGTGTGTCCTTATAGTGAAATAGAGAAATTAGAAATTTTGTGAAGAGTCCGTGACTGTACTAAATGTTAGGTAATATACCATTTTTGAAACAACCTCTTCAAGCCTGAGGCCTCTAGTCTAGTTGCTTCATCTATTTAACGTAAGAACTCTTATAAAGCGAAGCTCCATTGTTGCCCCTAGACCCAATTATCAAAGCTTGTTGCTTTCTTTTTTTCTTGTTTTTTTGTGTGAAGAGTCCGTGACTATACCAGATATTAGGTAGTATACCATTTGTGGAATAACCTCTTTAAGCCTATCGTCTAGTCGCTTCATCTGTTTAACGTAAGAACTCTTATAAAGCGAAGCTCCATTGTTGGTCCTAGACGACCCAAGAATTAAAGCCTGTTGCCTTCTTTTACTTTTTTGAAGAGTCCGTGAGAGTCTATTGATAGATGTTAGGTAGCTATTTTAATCTCTGAGGCTGTCCTACTGTTTTTCAAATGAGTGGAATAGTATTCAAGAGAACCATATACATAGATGGAAGAGAATGTATATATAATTAGACGTATGCGTTTAGCTAATTAGACGTTTAGCTAATTAGACGTATGCGTTTGTGTGTGATACTTTAATTAGCTAATTAGACGTTTAGCTAATTAGAGTGGAATAGTAAGACCATTCAATAGAACCATATACACAGGTATAGACACATGTGTGTTTGAGTGTGGGCCACTTTAAATTTTTGGATTCTAGTTGAACTGATTTGCTTTTGTGACAGTTATAATTCCTAAATAATCTTTCTCGTGTTTTATATATGATAGCTTATGAGTACAATTATGAGTACCCTATGTTATATGCATACATCTCTCCTTTGTGACCAAATGTGAAACTGAAAAACGTGATGGACACACAAACAAGAGAATTCTCCAAACCTCGGCGCACCGAGTTTCAACTTTATTAAAAATATTTTAAGATGATTACACATTTTAAATTGGACTTACACACAGTTTAAAAACACCCTTTTATTTTGCAACCAAACAATTCTAACCTAAACAAAGCAGAGACAATACAGGATTTTTCTTTCGGTATCTCTCTCTTTCCTTCTCACCATATAGAGTAAACACATACTCTCTAAGACTAGAAGATGATTTGAGCTAGACTTTTTTCTCTTATAAACGACTAACCCTAGGAAGCACCTCTTCAATCTTTTTTATATTCGTGGAATGAAAGACCTCCTAGGGTTGCCTTTTCCGAGCAAGTCAGGGTTTTTTCTTTTTCTTTTCTTGATTTGATCATTGCTTCCAAATATTGTGATCTTCGATTGCACGAATCTTCTACATCAACTACTAATATCTTCAACATTATACTGTATTCAGTGACTCACACGGTCCACATCATTAATAATTGCCTTTTTAATATGATCGCCTCATTAAAACAGTTTATTTCTTGTTTTTTTTTTGAAACAGTTTATTTCTTGTTCTAACAATTTTAAGATCTGAACACTTTTATCTTCTGTTCAATCTCTACTCAAACTTGCACTTACAATCTTCAGTTCGAAACCTTCAAACGTACCCCATTAACAATCTTTCCCTGCCTGATTGACATTATTAAGTAAATATATATATATATAAAGTCTTTGAGAGTTGATAGAGAATTTATTTTGGTTTCAAAACACAAGTTTTAAATCCATGTTAAACCATGCCCAAGTGCAAGCACATCTTTATAGTATTATAGGATATCGATCCACGATAAATAGAGTTTGCACACTAAGAATACAAGAATTAAACTAAACTAAGACAATTCAAAAGTTTGGTTTTAGACTAAAAACCTATAATGCAAATGAAATAGATAAACAAAAGGCGAATGACCAACCTAAACAAGTTTCTAAGCTAAAAACTTTCCCACAAGCATAAAACAATAGCAAAATGAATGATAAAAATGCAATTTATAAAAGTCAATTAAAAATCAACGAAAAGTCAAAGACAAAAATTCAAAGATAAAATGCATATGAGTCTCTTTAGCTAGGTAGATTGTCATTAGGGAGATCATCAGTTTGGTTTTGGTTCCTATGGGTGAGGTTAAGACATTAATCTAGTGGCATAAGCCCCTAATTATAAACTCATCCACTTCCGTCGTACTAATTCATTCACTAATTACTCTTAATCATGCTACGATTCCTCAATTGCATTTAAGAAACATAGTGATCATTAACTTCATGCGTAAGGTTTATAAGGTACTTCTGGTCGGTAACTACTATCGAAGACTCGATCCAAGTATTTGAAATTTTTTATCAAGTAATTTATAAGGTTTTAATTACATGTATTTATAAGGTCTTAAAAGATATTTATAAGGTATTTCTAGATATATATAAGAGCTTTTTTACATACATATATATATATATATTTTCTGTATGCTTTTTATAAGGTTACTCACGTATTTGAATAGATCTTAAATTTTTAGGAGCGTTTTTATGAAGGTTTTTTTTTTTTTGATATCGCAGGTGATCGATCCTAAAGGCTTTTTAGGTCTATAGATTAATCATGGAGCCCGAAAAAACCATGTTAGAATTCGAATCCTAGTGGTCAATGCTACTTGAACTCAAGTGGCGGAGATTTAGGAATAAAAGAGAAAGAAAATTAGCATTTCACGGTTAAATATTATTAACATATGTTTAGGTTTTTTTTTGGGCGAAAGAGATTTATGTTTAGGTCTAATGATATTAAAAAAATGATTTTTGACTGATTTACGACCAAATATTTTTGATAGAGGTGAGTGGTGGGATGGTCAAAATAACTTAAATTTAATAGATTACTAGATAACAACCCGCACTATGTGCGGGATGAAGTGATTCAAGTAAAATTATTATGATTAAAATTATTATCCGGGATCCAAGATCCGTTTGTGTAAAACGTAACATGTAATAATTTTTTTTTGTTTTATTCAAACTTGGGACTATTTATAGAAGAATACGTTTTACCCGTGGAATATTTGAACCTTGAATAAAGCTTCAACGTGATAAAGAAATTATTGACGAAATGTTACCATTTATGGCAATATGTCTTTCCGTATGTTTTAAAGATTTCGAGATTTTGTAGTATAAAAATAATTTTTTTATTATTACTTAAGTATAAGAAATCCAAAAATTTAGCAAAGATGATATTTGATAGTTTCCGAGTTAAGATTTTGTAGTGTTCCAAATATAAGATTCTTATATTATGAATGGATTATTTACGAAATGGTTATAATGTGACCGTTTGACAAAAAAAAGAGGTTATAATGTGGCCAGATTTTGGTTTATATATAAATGTGGTTATAATGTTTTTCTTCGAAAAGTTAGAAACACTCCAAAAAATCGGATTTTAAGTATCCGTAACATGTATAGAAAAGAGATTATCTTATTTATTTAAGTACAATAGATATAAAATTTTATGAAAGATTTAGAGATTTTGTAGTTTTGCATTCGAGATTCTTGAACAAAATGTATATCTTTTATCATTTAAATATAAGCATAAATAAATATATATATATATATATATATATATATATATATATAAATAAAAAGATTTTTTGCCCATCGGCTAGAGAAGATTTATATAAATGTATATAAAGAAAAATATAAATATAAAAATTTATTAATATAAGATAAACACAATTTTTTTCCTTTTTAATTATTGAAAATAGATTATTAATATAAATAAACAAAGATCCCGTGATTTGTTGTTAAATATAAATATGATATCAGTTGCCTAATTATTTGCTTTTTAATTATAATTTTGTTTTTTTGTTTTTTGTATGATATATGTATGTATTAAGACTAATGGCAAAATCTGTAAATAGTCTAGTAAAATTTGGGTAATAATTTAAATGGGTGAAAATTCACTCTGAGAACGACATGTCAGCATGATAGTTTAGTTAATAACACGTCAAGCTAAGGTTTATTTTATAAAGTGCTTCTCTATTAATATATAAGGGATTTTACAACATATATTCTATACCATTTTGCAACAAACACTGCATCGAAATGTTTTTGACTAAGTATTGACCAAAATTTTGTCGAAAACTTTTGAATATTTTTTTACCATTCTAAAATGGCTACAAACACTTGCAAATGGTTACATAAGTTGTCGTAATTGGTCAATATGTTTTGACCAATGTACGTTGGATATTTTTCGTCATATATTATTAACTACTTTTCGAAGAAAATTTGAATTGGTCGAGAATAGTTTAAACTTTTCTGACCATTTATCAACCAAATATATTGATCTAAAATACTCGACTAATATATGAAAATTTCAAATTTTAATTGTAATTTGGTCAAAATTTTGCGGATAAACGTTTAATTAGAAAATTGGTCAAAATGCGATATGTTTTCTTGTAGTGCGCGATCTAAAGTTTCTTACACATATTTGTGTCCTCGCAAGAAACCTAATTTTAATAAAATATCAGATTAAAAATAGGAAAACAAAATTCTTATCATTGAACATAGCAAAATTATACTCTTAAGAGTATTATCTTGACATATTTCACATAAAATTATGAAAATTATGTAAATTTCTATTTCTAGTTAATGAGCTGAAATAATAAAGAAAAAAAAAAAGATTTAGTCATTAAAAATACAAAACAAGGTTTGTAAAATAAAAGTAAAGTCTTATTAAATGGAGAGAATAATAAAACTCATCAAGTCCTACTTGATGACCAATTATAAAAGAAGATCAAAGCTGCTCCTCAGTTCTCTACATCAAATCTATGACAGACATTTCCAGTCTCTTGAAGAACCTAAGTCGCAGGGACCAACTTGACTATGGTTTAGCTGTGATAGTTTTATCCTCTGTTTGTTGGTTTCTTTGGCTTTACGCCAAAAACAAACGGCGGTCTCCACCGTTGCCGCCGGGACCTTGGGGCCTTCCCATTATCGGAAACCTTCCATTTATCCAACCGGAGCTTCACACCTACTTCCAAGGGCTGGCTAAAAAGCACGGTCCCATTTTCAAACTCTGGCTCGGGGCCAGGCTGACAATTGTGGTCACATCTTCTGAAGTAGCCCAAGAGATTTTTAAAACAAATGATGTCATCTTCGCAAACCACGATGTCCCAACCGTGGCTCCGGCCAATACGTATGGTGGTAAGGAGATCATTTGGTCGCCGTATGGACCAAAGTGGCGGATGCTGAGGAAACTATGTGTTAATAAGATACTGAGCAAAGCCATGTTGGATTCCTCCACTGAACTCCGTCGCCAAGAGACTCGGCAAACCGTCCGGTATTTGGCAGACCAGGCTCGGGTCGGTTCGCCGGTTAACCTGGGAGAACAAATATTCTTGATGATGTTGAATGTTATTACGCAGATGCTATGGGGCACAACGGTTAAGGAAGAAGAGAGGGATGTTGTTGGAGCCGAGTTCTTAGAGGTGATTAGAGAGATGAACGACCTCCTGCTAGTGCCCAATATCTCCGACTTTTTTCCGGTATTGAGCCGGTTTGATCTTCAGGGTTTGGTTAAGCGTATGCAAAGACCGGCTCAAAGGATGGATCATTTGTTTGACCGGATCATTAACCAACGGCTGGGGAAGGATAGTGACAGTAGTGATGGGAGAGCTGTGGATTTCCTCGACGTCTTGTTGAAAGTCAAGGATGAAGAAAATGAAAAGACGAATTTCACCATGAATGATGTCAAGGCCGTGCTCATGGTAAGTTAAAAGAATTGTCTCTGGTAACGCAAATAGATTTGTTAAATATGGCTTGTTTTTTTATAGGACATGGTGCTCGGTGGTACAGACACATCACTGCACGTCATAGAATTCGCGATGGCCGAGCTATTACACAACCCGGATATCATGAAGAGAGCTCAACAAGAGCTTGACAAAGTTGTGGGCAAAGAAAAAGTTGTGGAAGAATCTCACATCTCTAAACTTCCATACATTCTCGCCATTATGAAAGAAACTCTAAGGCTTCACACGATTGTTCCACTCCTTGTTCCTCGCCGCCCGTCAAAAACCACCGTGGTGGGCGGCTTCACCATCCCTAAAGATTCAAAGATTTTCATCAATGTGTGGGCGATCCATAGGAACCCCAATGTATGGGAGAATCCACTAAAGTTTGATCCCGACAGGTTTCTTGATAAGTCTTATGACTTCAAGGGAAATGACTTCAACTATTTACCGTTTGGGTCTGGTCGTAGGATATGCGTGGGAATGGCTATGGGCGAGAGGGTAGTTCTTTACAATCTTGCTACGTTTTTGCATTCTTTTGATTGGAAAATTCCCCAAGGAGAGACAGTGGAGGTCGAGGAGAAGTTTGGAATCGTGTTGGAGCTAAAGAATCCCCTTGTTGCCACGCCCGTACTAAGGTTGTCCGATCCAAATCTTTATCTCTAGGGATTTAAGTTCAACACAAAGGGACATTTTTGAATAAATTTTACATTGATTCAAAAAAAAAAAAGTTCAACACAAAGAAATACTGAATGTTCTACTGCGGGCTTATTTGTGTATCTTGTATGATTTAATAAAATCCGTACAATGTCTTTAGTACGTGAATAAAATCTCCATATCTTATATGTGTTGTATTTTGTATGATTTTAATAAAAAGTGTGCAATATCTTTACTAATTTAGGCACATCGTTAAGTTGGAACAAATAAATGGAATTGTGTTACCGACTTAACGATGTGCCTAATAGAAAATCAACAAAATATATATATATATATATATATATATATATATATATATATATATATATATATATATATATTTCTCTAGATGCAAAATTGAGATTTTTTCAATAAAAAGGATAGTTGAAGTTTTTTATGACATTTTTCCCATTTGATGTTGCTTGTATTCCAGCTTTTGTTATGCTTATCGTTAGCTGCTCCATCACTTCATGAACCTTTGTGCCCAAAACGACGTTGTATGAAATCAGATATAAGATTTCATTAGGAAATATTGGGAGAATATAAATCGATTTGGGTACTTTGTTTTGTTTTCAAACGATATCATTTTTCCCATATAAATGAAAGCTCATTAATTAAATCGTAACTTCATCTGTTTCATTTGTTTCATGACTTAACGTTGTGCTAGCTTAAATTGGTAAAGTCAGCAAGAGTTTACGATTTATTAAACTCAAGCTTGCAAGAAAATTACAACAGAAGAATTATCGGTTAGAAGCTGAAAACCGTTTGTTAATTGAGTCTTTTTACTGAGTCAAGTAGACATTGTTTTAAGATTGATATTTATCTTGATTTGTTGAAGAGACAAGTTCTTAGTACATATACAAAAGAAAAATATAGAAGCTTTTTTATGATTCTTCACGTAATGTTAGAAGATCCAAGGAATGAAGCATTGTCGATTTTCCATGTTTTTTTTTCTTCTGTGGATGATGATGGTTGAATTTTGTAATAGATGAAGAATAGTGACTTAGATTTGTTGAAAGTCACTTGATGGGCTTGGTTGGATTCGGAAGAGAAAAGTAATTCGAATTTGGATTCTTGTCAATTGATTGGTACGATACAATTCTGGTTTAAGTTGACACTGACCGGGTTAATGCATAGTATTCAAGATTTTGTCCATGTCCTGACAAGTTATGGGGAAAAACGTGTTTGCGGAGTATCAAGTTCTGACATTAGAGCATGATTATTGGTAGGCTCTTAAGACACCTCTTAACTTAAGAGATATGTCTTACAACTAACAAAAGTCTCTTAGTTAGTTGTAAGACATATCTCTTAAGTTAAGAGGTGTCTTAAGAGCCTACCAATTATCATGCTCTTAGGAACTGAAATCCATCCATGGAGAATGATTGAATGTTGCATGCTACATTATACTAAAGATGTAGGGATATGCATCAATGGAGTTTTGTACTAGCTATCAATAAGTGTATATATAGAAATTTAAATAGGAGTTTGCTTTGACGTTAAATCTGAGAAGTTCAGCTATATTAAAGTCATATAAACTTTGTTTGGAATGATAAAATACAATGGTAAATTATGTGTAGTTCATTATGATGAAGAGCTTCACTACACTTATGAAATAACTAATAAGTAAAAGAATTGAGTTGAGGATTTTAGAAGATCTCCAAAAGCAGGAATGGTCCAAGCATATATATGAAGCAACAAGAACATGCTTGGAAATGGCTCTTTTAGAGTGACTCCGACAAATGATATTTGTGTTGTCGCGTTGCTACCCATCCGACCCTTTTTACCTTTACTACTTTAATCTCGAAAGGCACAATGCTGTTGCCGTAAGATATGAAATCCGAGGACTGCCTTAGTCTAAGTTTAATAGACTTTAAACCAATCTAGACTGAGAATGTGAAGCTTGTATCATAAGTGTTTTTGGTACTCATAACTAGAGACTTTTTTTTGGCTTTAAGTACTCATAAACATATATCCTCTTCCATGTAGTACCCATTTTGGGTAAGAACTTAAAAAAACCAAAGCACATCAAATCACATTCGATATCTTCTCTTACCTTAGTTTTGACTAGAGAACAACAAATACATGGAAATTTCATCATGTTTATGTAATCTTAAGATAAACGCGGTTTTTTTTTTTTTGGGTGAGTGATAAACGCGGTTTGTTTATCATTGACTTATATATCAAAACCTGGAAAAAAAAAAACGATTTGTACAATCTGTAAGCTTTAGATATTCTTTTTTTTTGAATAAAATGTTAAATTAAATTTAAAGAAAAAATATATGCTTTTACAACTAGTGCAACTTTTGGTTGAAATGGAAATACAGAACCTCAAATTATTTTAAACTTAGATTCTTGAATCAAACCAACATTGGAGACCTTTATCGTATCTTCTATCACTCGTGGCTCGTATTGCTGAAAATTGGTTCCGAATTTGTTTATCGATCCATGAGATCAAACAACTCACTGTGCTCGGGTTTTTTTCGTGCCGGCGGTCATTTCTCTCGCTCCAGATGATGTAAACAGTAGCTTGGAGGACATATCTAGCAGTGAAAGTTTCACTGCGATCCTTCCAATGAGTTGAAACAGAGTTGATTAGAGAGGGCCATCTCGTCGAGTACTTTGTTTTGAAAATGTTCTTTGCTACTGCTTTCCAGACCTAAGAGGTAAACCCACATCTGAAAAATAAATGATCCCGTGATTCGGTACATGTATTACAGAAGACACAAGTCGTCGACCCTCCTCTGTTCCAGTGGTTCATACAGTCGCCCGTGATGAGTCTATTCACAAATCAAAACTTTTAGAATCTAAAAATAAATCTATGGACCATGAGAACCAATAATTTAATTAAGAACCAATAAAATAAAACGTGGTTTGTTTAGACATTTGATTGCTCGAGTAATTACCCGATACACTTAACCGCAATGTAGTATATACGGGGTCGATCCACAAGAACCAATGATACACTAAAGACTTCCGAGACTCGTTCTTAGCTAAAGCGAAGAGTTGTTTTGTTTGGGTTTTCAGATTGTAAAAGTTCTTAGCTAAAGCGAAGAGTTGTTTTGTTTGGGTTTTCAGATTGTAAAATAAAAATGCAAATAAATTAAACGATTTAACTTTCAAGATTTAAAGACATTGAGCCATAGGGTATTTCAGAGATCAATGAACAATGGAAACATGAGACAAGGAATTCAATAATTAAGAACCGTTCTTGAACATGAACACAACTAGACTAATTCTCTTTCAAGACATTAATCACTAAATTTGACTATTCGATTACTAAACATTCGCATGTAATTTTCTAGTCAAATTCGCATTATCAAACAAGTACATTAAGTTCACAATACGTCCTAACGTCAACTTTCGTTGGCTAGAAATACATTGCTCAATTCAAATTCTTTCAGGCATTCTATCGAACACTTTTGATGCATAGAAAAACCTAGAATCTACAACAGGGTGATCAATCATATTCTAGCATTAAGAACATGTGAATCAAAGAACCTAGAGAATGAGAATTCCAAACAACAATCAATCCATCAATCCATTGAATCTCCTAATTAGAACTCTAGAACCCAATTGGGAAACTACTCACACATATTGCAAAGAATAACACAAATAGATAAAGAAGAACATAGTTCAATTGAATAGAAATGAAATAGGGTTTAGAAATCTTCTCCAAATTGTCAAGAAGGATGAATCTCTAATCCCAAAGTGTTTACAAAAGAGAAATCTCAGAAAAATTGCAGAAGAAAACGTGAAAAACGAAATTAGGTGGTCTCTGGGGTTTTTATACCCAAGTACAGAAAAAGGCAGATAAATCCGGTTAAGGAAAACCGGCTCGTGTCGTCGAGAGGGTGGATCGATCGATCCCGAGTGGCTGAATCAATTGTTCTCGTCGGATGAAGACCGGATCGATCGATCCCCAGCTACTGAATCGATTGGTTTGGCGGACAAGGGTTGGATCGATCGATCCGCAGCTACTGACTCCGGTTTTTATTCCCGCGATCGTTTCTGGTCCAAATAAGCCATGATGGTTATCTTCAGACACTCTTCGTTTACAATCTTTGTTGATATCTCCAATCATTCTCTCAAATCCTTTACTTGCTTTTTCTCTGGTAACTCCATGTTCTTTCATATAGTATTTAACTGCATTTGCAGTGTACCCTTTACACATATCCTCCCTATCATATATCCCAAATTCTTAAAAGCAAACAATAAGACCTAAACGTTTTGCATAAAAACATGATATAGCATGGCGGTTTTCTTCAAGCATTCCTTGTTTAAGGCTTTGCTTATTATATATATATTTTTTTAAAAAGAAAGTTAATTTGGTGTAACGCGTGCGGGTCAAAGAAAGTTACATTTTTTTACGTCAATAGTTTAATTATTTTCACAGTTTTGGATTAGCAGCAGATATCTGATTGTAGAGTTTTCAAAATTAAAGTTAGGATCTAGTACTTGAGTACTCCAACTCTCCAAGGAATGAGCAGTTGCAGTTTCCCTGCCTCCTTTGTAGAAGTTTCTTCGGCAATCACTTCTTAGAAAGAAAGTGTATCTTAACTACTTGGTTTAAGTTTTTTTTTTTCCTGCATATTTGATTGTGTTGGTTTAAATATTGGGCACAAATGTTAGTGATTTGGGCTTATGGGCCATTGTAACACAAAATTAATTTTTCTCTCTTCAATGGGTATAACACATTAAGGTGTGTATTACATCATATATCTCTCTTGATTTTGAGTTTTGGTGAGTTTTTGGATGAATTTAAAGAAGTTTTTATTATTTATTATAAAATTCTCTCAAGTTCCACTTAAACCAAAATCAAAGGGACACGACTACTAATCATCCATGACAAGCAGAAAGATGGAAGAAACCCATGTGCATGTACACGGTCATCACTCATCATGACCATATATCTCGTTATATAATTCACAAATTCAAAAACCTTGCTAAGTTTAAGTAATAAACTTTTTTGAGAAAAAAATAACAAAATTTAAAAACTTCCCTAATAGATTAAATCTGATTAGTTATTATACCAAGTAACTACTATTTATAGGTTACTAAATCACTTGCATACAGGATGGTTCTCTGGTACAGGATGATTCTGTATATCATCAAGTGGAGAGCCACCAACTATGGGAGCTGCCAACCTCCGTAGAAGTCTATCTCCATTACATACAGAAGTCGAGACCCTTCTCTGGGCGATGAAGTGTATGATTGGTGCAGATAACCAAGAGGTAGCGTTCTTTACAGACTGTTCAGACCTGGTGAAGATGGTGTCTTCTCCAACCGAATGGCCAGCGTTTTCAGTGTATTTGAAAGAATTTCAGAGCGACAAGGAAAAATTCTCAACCTTTTCTTTATCTTTAATTTCTCGTAGTACTAATGTAAAAGCGGATAATCTGGCACGAAAAGTTCGTGCAGAACCGCTTCATATCACATATGTAAACAACATTCCCCAAGAATGGCTCTTTTCAGCGTTAATTAATTTCGGATGACAAAAAAAAAAAAGTTCACTTGCATACATTAACTCACCAGTTGCTAGTTACTAATGTAGTTAGTGAAATTTGTGATAGCTAGTTTTTTTCCTGATAACCAATTATGCATATGATTTGAGTTTTTTTCTTTAATATATATGTTTTGTATGCTTTTCGAATAAAATTAATATTTAAAGAGAGTTAAATTTATAAGCTGTGTATTAAAAAAATTATTTGTATGTAAGGCTTCCGTTTGAAAAGCAGGGTCACTTCCACTTCTTCATCGAAATTGTGTTCAATTTTCTCTATTTGGTTCATTGGTTGTTTTCTATGGTTTTATGTATCATGCATCATGTAACATATTTATGAAATAATTAATACAATTGATTTAACCGTTAAAAAAATTATAAAATGTGAATCTCTTAAATAATTTAGTGTTTGTTCAATTTGTTAGTTTTAATCAAACAATAATTAGAATTTGTTTGTACATAAAGAGGAGTGTAAACCATGTTGTGATGAAGATTTCATACTTTTATGATCCTTAGATATTGAGGGAGGGATGTCTGTTTTGCAAAACAATTATTTATACAAAAAAATATATATATTATCAGTCTAATTTCCTTTAAATAGCCAGATTATATGGATAATCATCTCCTATATTTGGTTGTCATTTTAATTTCTCAAATCAAGATTAAGACACAAATTTTAGATAACAGCTAATGAGTTGACCAAATTTTTTAAATAACTGTTAATTATTTTAGATATTTCATATTTCTAATTCAATTAGATATAAATCAAATATAGTTTAAACAGACTAATCTACCTTATAAAAAGAATCCGTATATTCTAGATTTGTCAACTGTAATGCCAGCTGGCATAATTAAACTAAAATTACGTATGTACCCTTCTCATCCTTTTCATCGCTGTCTTTTCTTAGAACCTGAACCGGTTTCTTAAGAAAACCGAAAATTCATAATCACAATTATACAAAACTCCGGTTTATGTTCCTCACAAAATTACTCAATCAAAATAAGGAATATGATGAATCAAGTATATAATTAAAGAAAAAAACATGTATTGGTTTCAATTTTCACGTAACCGGTTTAAGGTTTATAAATGTGAACCGGACTTGTTTAACCAGCCAACAGAATCTGTTCTGGCGGCAACGGGAAAAAGATAGACAACGACAGAAAAAGAAAAGGGTAGTAACGTAATTTAGCTAAAAACCAAACGGTGATTAGAAGCTAATCTCTTCTATAATACGAGAAGGGTTTCTTAAAAATCAGAGAGACAAAAAAAGTAGTTTGGAGAATTAAGAAGAACAAAGTCTATTCGAGACGAAGAAGAGCCTCAAGAAAATCATCATCTCAGGTAAAACTTCATCATAAACAAAGATTTATACAAATTAATATACGTTAATAACCATTCATACACTCGTTGTAAAAAATTATAAACAGGTTAGTTTTTGATAATTTAGGTGTGATAATTCGATTTTTTCTTGCGATTCTAGAGATTATACATAACACGTATAAATTCAAAAAGACAAAGGTTGGTAACTAAATTTATGTTATAACTTATGACCTATAGTCTTAGTCTTTTAGGTTAAAAGTTAAGATCGTTTGTTTTCGTTATGTTTATGTAAACTAATTACCGCAAACTATATAATATATATTGAAAACTTCTAATAATGTTTTTGTTTTTGGTGGCAGGTTAATAAAAAAAAAGATGGGTTATTGGAAATCTAAGGTTGTTCCAAGGATGAAGAGATTGTTCGAGAAGAGTCCAGCAAAAAAGGAAGTTGTTGAGGAGGAGAAGCCACGAGAGGTGGGAGTTGTGGAGGAGGTCGTCGTGAAAACCGAAGAACCGGCCAAGGTAGAAGAAACCAAACCGGTGGAAATTGCAACCGGCGAGAAAGAGATAGAAATAGTTGAAGAGAAGAAAGAAGAGGCTAAACCCGTGGAGGTTCCGGTTCCGGTAGCTGCGGAGGAGAAGAAGCCAGCCGTGGAAGAGGAGAAGAAGACTGCACCGGTGGAAGAGAAGAAGCTAGCTGTGGAAGAGGAGAAGAAGCCTGCCGTGGAAGAGAAGAAACCTGTGGTGGAGGAGAAAAAAGAAGTTGTTGCCGCGGTTCCGGTGGCTGAAACTCCTTCGACCAAGGCTCCCGAAACTCCAGTGGTTGAAACTCCGGCGAAGGCTCCGGAAACTCCGGTGGCTGCGCCACAAAAGGCTTGAATTTTCTTCATGGTACATTTTTCTAAAAAAATATTGATTGTCTTTGTGTGGATAATTTATTTTCTTTGTTTATTTGTTTTATTATCCATGTGAAATTTCTCTATACATTAATTTGCTTGCTTGAATTATATATTTTATGATCCAAATCTTATTCCCCAAAATTCTATTTCTATTCATCTTTAAATTCAGTTTTACGTACTAAAAATTAATTCATGCTATAAATTATTATTGTTTAGTTTTTAGTTTTAATATTTTTTGTAAATTAACTCTGAATTTTTGTTACGAAATCGAGTTTAGTCCAATGACTCTCAGACTAACAAAAGATTAGTGTTATACATTAATTATAAAATTAAACTATAGTACAAATCGTAATGAAAATATTTTATAAATCTCAGCCTTATCTATGGATTGAATTGATCTAGTCGTTTCGATATTAATGTAACATATATTTAGGCTATATTATTATTCAATACGTGCAAGCAAGAACGAAATAAGATTAGGATGCAATTATATGCAACCAATTTTATTTTTATTTTTAATCAAATGACGTGGTACGCACTCTTCTGCTCCACTGGAACTTCGTTTTCTCTCTTAACAGATAGGCTGCGTAATATTCCATGATAAGATTATTAGGATATAAAATAAATATCAATATTTTTGGATTCTTTGGACTTGTCTTAATGTATTCATGGGTTCAAGGTCATCGTTTTGACTATTGACTAATTCAATCCATTTTCGTTCAATATAATTAAATTAGGTTAAACCGAGATCACATGTAGATAATTGGATGCAGAACCAAGAAATTACCTAATGAGTAACGACTAATCGCACGAGAAAACTTTCAGTTACAGCATAAACTATGTCCAACGTTGAAATTCACACACTATCCAAAACAGGTTACACCAAAGATTCATAAATTGTTGTGAAAATTCTAAGGCATCTTGCAATTTTTTAAAACTCACCAAACTGTTGGGCTTTTTATTAGCCCAATCGATGAAAGACTAACTATTCGATGAAAACATCAACACAACTACATATCTATGATCTTCATAATTAAACTGTCAAGAGTACTATAAAAGATGAAAAAGCTTATGGGTTTGATAACAAATCATATATCAGCTAATTTTGTTTTACAAAAAGAACTCAACACTCGCAGTTCTACTAGTTGATGTGAGAAAACTTTGAAAGAAATGTTGAAAAAGATGGTTAAAACTCATATTTTCATTTTTTTTTTATCTTTCACATTACACATTCATAGTATTTATAGATTCTACCACTTTATCATAAAGTGACAAGTGTCTTAGTCTTGTACTGAAAGCGTTAAAAACGGTTTTGTAGAGAAACCTTAGGAATATAAAGACTGTTTTACTCTGCTTTTTATTTTGGGCTGGTACTTGTTCTTTCAAGTACGAGTCACTCTTTTGTGATACTTAACATAAAAATTCTAATCTCCTATCCAAACCATTGCTTCCCATAATCTTGGTTTTATTGTTCTTTACTGATATGGATTTTCAATGATTATCGATCACCCCAAAATCGGCTATTAGCCAACTGAAGGAAAAAATCTTCATATCTCATCTCTATAAAAATTGGACTGAGAAGTACTGTTTCTGCACTAGGACTACAATAAGCAAACAATTTCTCATTGATTGCGTCAAGTTGTTATTTTAGAATCATAATTACTGAAAGTGGGGGAATGTCAGGCATCAGACCAGGCATTATCTCTTTGTTCTCATCATTGGAAATCTTCTCCAGATTCCTTTTCGCTCTTGAAACAAGCTGCTTAACCAATTTTATGAGCAGAGGGTCACACTCATTAGATGACTTCCTCCCCTCGGTTAGACGAGACAACCCATAGTTCAACCTTGCAGCTTTGCCGGAATTGTATCATTTTCATCATGCCTTACGCAGGCTTCGGAATAGAAAAGAGCAGCTTTGAGTTGTACATGAATCTTCCACCTTTCGTCGAAGTGATTCTTGAGAAAGGGAGAATTCAGAGCTTTAAAAGCTTCCTCATAGTATATAGCAACCTAATAACAACAAGAAAAACACACCTCAGTTTCAAAACAGAGACAACATATCAAATTCATCGCACTAGACTCATAAATCCTGATTAGGTATAGGTAAGAACAACCTCATATGAAAACTACATTTTCTAATTGTTATGAACAAGGAAGGAACAAAAGGGAAGGAAACACAAGATTGGACACTAACCTGACTAGCAATTCTGGCACATACGACATCTGTCGTGGTTGGGTTTAAATTTTTTTCGCAAACACATTCCTGCTCCTGTGCGAGCAACATCTGTTCAAACATGCCCGCGCACTCGATTGTCATATATGCCTTAGAAGATTCGTTGTCCCTCAAGTATGCGAAAAAACTTGCTGCGGAGATAAACTCTTGGCAAGAGTCATGACGGCCAATAACGGTGTTGCAGTCGAAGTCGAGACCAATCTCAAGGCACATAGCACCAAGATTGAACAAAACAACAACTTTCTCTAGATGTATGTTCTGTTGGGAAACCTGCTGCTCTGGTTGAAATGCATCATGCCATGTTGCAAAACAATGGAAACAGATTCTTCACCAAACAAAGACACCTGTAATATGTGAGGAGGGACTTACAGTGGTCTTTCACAGTATGTTCTTGTGGACTAGTGCAAACCCTTCGAAGTAGTTTCAGAGCACGAACAAGTTTTTTTTATTCTCGAGCATGTATCATGTAAGTCTCAACGCAAAACAACGAATAATCCTCACGCACTGTTAAGAAGAAGCGCTAAAAGTTAGACACACTTTGATCATCCTGGCCTTACGATTTGGTGTGGTTTATATTGTGTTTACTAATTATGTAGTGTTTTTTTTTACTTTTGACAAGTAGGGTTAAATAAAACCGGATCATGTTTATCTATCTTAGTTTTGTACCGGAGACACAATGCACTGCTAGTCTGCTACTTTTGTATGTGAAAATCAATCTGGTCCATTAAATATATTCTCGGTGAACCCTTGAATCTAGATGAAAGCCAGCCTAAACTGTGAATAATTTTATTATTATGCTCACTGATCTGAATTACATAACAACAAATCTACTGGTTATTAAAAATTTAAAATAAAAATATTTAGAGGTTAAAATGATTTAAACACTTTTTTGTAGGTTTTAAAATAAAATACAAGTAGAAACTGGAAAAACTTTTGTTTTCTATAACATTGCATCATTAAAGTTTTCTTCTATAGATTTGAAATTTTCAATCATTTGAGATATGGAAGATGGATTTTTAAAAAGAGTAATGTATGATTCATAGAAACTTTGAATACTCGTTTTATTATAATAAAAAGAATCATGAAATGATGCTATCATCCATAAATATGAATAATATGATAAAAGACTGAGAGAAAAAGAACACTAAATAGAAAAGAAAAAAAACGAAAACAATTGATATAGGTTGATAGAGTTTGATTATTACCGCAATTAGAAGTATTTCTAAGAAAAAATCACATTTTTAACTTTTAAAGTATCATCGTAGTTTAAACTTCAAAAGAATTGAACTGACACTACAAACCACAAAAATAATATTATTAACACTTTAAACTTCTAAACTACCTTTCTTGTTTGCACCCCCATAATAAGATGACCGAACATTAACGTCTGTTAACTTCTGTAAATTTAGTTAAAATTTTGGAAAATAAATTTAAATTGAAAATAATTATTTATTTATTACGCTTAATTAAAAATGACAAAAAAAAAACTTCAGCTTCTTCGTCTACTCACAAAGCTTCCATTGCTTCACTACTTCGCGCAAACGAACTGGAACTTTATTAGACCAGTCACTAAGATCAGGTAAGCCTCCGGTTAAGGCTAGAAAGTTGAGACCTTGTGTATCCGGTGTTCTCTTCCAGCAAACCTGTAACCACGAAAAAACCGCAAATGACATTTAATCTTTTGATTCAAACGAGCGATTAACAAAAAGGATGAAGATGAAATATGTTACTTACTTGTCCAGGAAATGCTTCTGCCAAGATCTTGACAGTGGAATTCAACATCCCGGCTGAATCATCTAACAACAACTGAGGCTTTCCATTCTGCAATTCTGTTTCGATTCCCGCACAATTCACCATAATGCGACCGTTAGGCATCAGCCTACTAGCAAGCTCCAACCAAATAGGGACCTAAAGAAAATCGAAATCAATACACCAAGACGTTAAGTGTCTATATGTGACTAATAATACCAACAATCATAACCATGTAAAGTACCTGTTGCAGCTGATCTAAGACCTTTCCATCAGCAAACAAATCAACAATGATCCCTAAATAACCATAAGAATTCAGAACAAGAACCAGAATATATAATATAGCCTGACATATATTAATTTTGAAATCTCACCAGCATATCTTCCTGAAACATCTTGAGAAGGAGAGAGAGCATCATCTACATAAACACAAAGTCTACCGCCTTTTGATGTTGGTTTCTCTAGCTCAGACAGCCCGAGATAGTCTCTTGCTTTCTCAATCAACTACTGTCCATAAAAGAAATCACAACAGTGAACTCAAGATTCCACTATCCAAAGAAAACACCGCAAGAAAATCTTATCGGGTGAAGATAATTTCTTACATACAATTTCATCAATTTCCCAACCTTCAAGCTGCATTGTAGGCCACAACTCAAGCATCAATCTTGCAGCTGTTCCACCACCCTAAAAAAAACACATGAACAAAACACATCTCAGCCAATGGATATCGAATCGGTATGAGTATCATCGCGTAGTTCCTCACCAAGCCGTAGATTGCAACGGGACCATTAGGGATAATAGGCGGCAAACTCGCAAACTCATCCTGTAACAAAATGTTGATATGATTCAATATTAAGCACAATGTTCTGTTTACCTTTGACAAAACCACATTTACCTCTCAAAATAGAAACAACCAAAGCTATGATTTTTTGAAGCAATGTCAATAACAAAAGATCGATGCAAACAAAAATCAAACATACCCAATAAGATCCAGTCCAATTTTGACCTCCTTTATTGATAACACTATGCACATTCTCTACATAACAAGGTTTAAGAAAATCAGAGGATAAAATAGTACAAAATCTCTGATCCAAAACAGAGGAATTAGGGTTATAAGAAGTCTCTCACTAGTTGAATCAAGGAGAAGATATCTGGAAGAAACAGTATCGACTATAACAATCTCATTGTATCTGCTTCTTACTGCAGTCACAACCCAATACTCTTCTTCTTCTTCTTCTTGGACAGATTCTTGTTGAATTTGGCTCTCGTCACGATCACTTTGCTTGAGGCAAAACGAAATTGAGAATCTGGGTTTGTTCTGAGATGGGTTTATGAACAAGGGTTTTGAAAATTGAGATGAAAGGAAGCAACTTTCGTAGCGAGAAAGTGAATGTAGCGATGAGATGGTCATGGAAGAACTCAAAGCTGCCATTTTTGGGTTTGTTTCAGTGATCACTTTGCGTTCAAACTCTTATCCTTTCTTCTTCCTTCAGTTTTACAGATTTAGCTCAAAAGCAAAATTGAACATTTGCAACGGTAAATGTCTTGCCGTTTATTGACTGTACAAACGGCACGATTTGTTTATCTAGAAAGTCAAAACTTTGGTGCGTTTGTTCTCTCCAATAAGGTCCTTTGTTGCCAACAATTTCGATCAAAATGCTTTTAATTTTTGTTATAAATACGACAAAAATAACCAATAAAACACTGATAATTGAGTTATATAGTTGGCTAACTTCGTAACATCTTAAATCAAAATTCAATAACCACACTGATTCGATAATTACCTTAAGTCCATGTATGGAGAACAAGGTTCAATTGAAGTGACTTGTAAAACCGGCATATAAGTTCACCCCTAACCACTCCTTTGTCAACCCAAACCGATATCTAATTTCTTTTTAATTGTAAAATCTAAACCGTAACCACTCTTTTTTTTATATAACATCAACCTAACCACTCCTTTATAAACCCAAACCGACATATAATTTCGTAAAAATTATAAAATCTAAACCCTAACCACTCCTTTATAAACCTAAACCGATATATAATTTTGTTTAATTGTAAAATAAAATATTTAATTGGTGGAATCCATAATTGATTTAATTTAGTTGTTTTATTTAATTATTTTAATTAGTTTATTTAGATGATATGGCTAATTTTGATTGGTTAGTTAGAAGGAGGTGAATAAAAAGGATTCACCCCTAGGGGTGAATCCAAGAATCGTTCGCCATTCATGGTCCTAGTAAACATTCAAAGTCTTAGGGGGGTTTATTGGTTTATGGATTTGTAAATCCACATCGAATTTGGAAATCTTTAATAATTTTGAAATCAAGACATATGAATTTTGAAATAACATGTGTTTACCCACGGATTTGAATCCTTCTATTTTTCACTATGAAATCCATTCAAATCCTATTATTTTAAAATATGGATTTTGAAATCCAAAAACAAATCACTAAACGAATACACATAGTATTTTAATTAGTATTTATAAATCATCGAACTAATAACACATGATTTTGATAAAGATTTTAAAATCAATGATTGAATAACACATGATTTTTGTATGAATTTCCAAATCTATTAATTAGTTCAAAAACACAACTAACTTTTAAAAAAGGCCAGAACTTTTTTTATTAAAACAGCACAATGGGCATAAAATGGAAATATAAGACCAATAGTGACACCGTCAGAGGAATTCTAAACCGATTAGTCTGTCTAAATTGGATTGAATAATCAAATATCGGTTAATTCAATGGTCTACAAACGACATTAAATATTCTATGAAAAAAATCAAATCGTCAATTGATTAAGTTGAATACTGTTTTGCAGTTAAAAATAAAAAAAAATGTTAGTATGAGTTAGAGGAAATATATAGATGTTTTTCTTGCAATCGAAAACATACAGACTCTGTAGAAACAAATATGAGCTTTCTTAGTATACTTTTCTAAGTAACACCAACACCTCTGTTTCCTTAATCTTTGATTTAGACTCATATGCTCAAACCAAGACTCACAAAATCAGAATAAATTTTGGTTTTATGGAAAACCAAAACACGTGGCTAAAATTAAATGTTCCCACAAGTACAAGGACCCACAAAATCAAAGTAACCAATCTAACGCTTTGTGTGGGGTCTCTCAAAACCAAAATCGCATGAAACTTTTTAGTTCTATCATTCTCAAAATTCGTAGAGGAGCGTCTCTAACCTGAATCAGGTTCTGTATTAGTATTAGGAGTGTGTGTTAGAACAAAAGATATGCTATGTTGTACTCAATTTTAGACCTGGCAATTTGGTGTGCGAATATGAATATTTAGGCCCAAATGAAAGCAGTCCAATTAGACGTAGACCAAATTATATTGCGGATTTGGAACGGACTTAAACCAGTATACTGTACTAACACTTTCATCTACTTTGATTTGGGCCAATAATATTTTACAACACGTTCAATAATCATTAACCAAATCCAAATTCATACACTAAAGTTCATAGGCTACAATCCATATTATTTGATCGTTATTTTCTCTATCTCGTTTTACGTTATTATGTTTTCATTGTTTCAATGGTATTGAATATATTGATTGTAATTTGTAAAGACTCTTAACTAAAATACCCTAGAAACAAAAATAACTTCTGCTTAATGAAATTAACGAAAAACAAAGCTTCATTGGTGTATTTCTCCAACACGCCGCTCCTTACAAGCTGAGGTGTCATCAACCAAGAGCCAGTCACAAACACAAACCTCACCGTGAGTATCCTCGAAACAGCCGGACTCAACTGCCACCGCTGCGTCACCGTTGTTTTCTTCTTCACAGCCAATTCCGCCGCAAGGCAAACGCCTTGTAACATGAAGAACAAAGTAACTTCCCCTGCGGGCATCTCACGAGTTAAATAGAAGAAGAGCAAGTCGTGAACCAAACCGGAGACGAAGAACGTCACTAAAATCCCCGGAAAGAGAGCCCAACCGGAGCTCATTCGACGTTCGGAGACTCGCCTCATTGGTGTGTAAATGGCTGGCTGGAGAATGGCAGGAACCATAATATTCCATCGGCGACCCCAAAAGTCTTGTAGAGATGTGGCTAAGTATGGTTTATTAGACTGTGGCTCGAGGTCGCAACCAAGAGAGATAGAAACCAAAACTTTGACCAACGTAAGAATAATCTCAATCTCTAAGTATAGATGTACAAACTAGAGTCCTAATAGCAGAACATGAGGCAGGTTTTGTTTGTAGCCATACAAATGTAATAACACACCAAAGATAACAACTTTAATGGCGAAAACAGATTTGGAAAAACGAGTCTTAGGTTTAGGGTTTTGTTGGGCTTTGATTGGGAAACAAGTAAAGCAGAGGAATCGAGAGAGATTTGCGGGAATTGGGACTAGAGGACCTTTATCAAAGGAGAAGAGGATGAGTTTGAAATTTGCGAGCCATGTGAGGAAAAATGCTGTGATGAAAGATAAATGGACAGAGGAGAAAAACAGAGGAAGAACAAGAAACAGAGCAAGGATGGAGAAAACAGAGAGGAATCGAGGAAGACCTGATTTGAATTTGGGTGGCAAATAGTAACAATAAGATATGGAGATGATTGCATAAACCAATGCTTTGATCAAGCTCTTGATTTCTTCATCCATTTCTCAGATCTTTGGTTTTTTTGTTGCTGAGTTTTTGGCAATAACCGAAGTTGTAATAACTTGGCTGATTTTTTTTTACTTGTCCTTTAATGGGAAACACCTAAGTTAAGTAATGTCTGCAGAGGGAACATCGATTACAGATAGTGGGTGAGAATTACATTAAATAAAGAAGCATTAAATCCTCAACTATACAATACTATAAACTAGTTATTTACCCGCGCGTATAGTTTATTGTTTATTTAATTTAGTTTGTTATATTTTTGATTAATTACATTATATTTTTTACATATTGTCTATTTTGTTTATTAGTAAAAAAATATTGTTTTATTGTTACTTTTTCATACGTGTTTTTAAAATGAAAATTCATGTTTTGTTCCAATCTATCTCATTTATGTCTGAAAATTTTGTAAGAAATAATTTAGATAGATTTTATATTCTCAAAATTTCTTGTTTTTTTCTATCCTCGTTAAATCTCATCATAATTTAAGTTTACATTGTGCTACATTCACATTATAATGCATATTATTTTAATGGATAGATATTCATAATAAAACATTCACTTTAAAAATATTAAATATTATTTATAAATTAGTTAGTATAATCGAAAATTAGTAAATTTATTATTTTTTATATCAATTATGTTTTTTAGTTTTATAATATAAAATATAAGGAAAAACCTTTCATATTTCTTTTTCAAAAACTTGTTTACATATGTATAAATTTTTAAATGAAAGGATAAAATGTATATAAATAAATTTTTTAATTGAATAATTAAATGAGTAGGATGTTGAGGTGACTTAAGGAGAAGAGAGAAAAACCTACTATAATATAAAGTATAAGAAAAGACTTTTCATATTCCTTTTTGAAAAACTTGTTTACATATGATAAATGTTAAAATTAAATAATAAAATGGTATAAATAAATTCTTTAAATTAAATAATAAAATAATGTGGATGATGATGTGGATGATGAGGTGGTTTAAGGAGAAGAGAGAAAAGCCTACTTTATATATATAGATAATGAGAAATGTCTCCATGGGATGAGGATCAGAGAAGATTGGTCATAATTTTTGTTGTTTTACCTCTTTTCAACTTTAATACCAAAAACCTAAAAAAGTAATACAAAAACTAAAAAATTTGTCTAGGAAAAACAACCAAACAAATTTTGATAAATCATCCGTGGGTAACTTCCTAGTATATATGTATATTGGTGAGTATGAGAGAAACTACATACTCCCTCTGTTTCACAAAGAGTATCGTTTTAGAGTCATGCACACAGATTAAGAAAACATTAAATTTTTTGTTTTTTCTAAACAAAAACATCATTACTTATACACCTAAACACAATCTGCCCAATAATAAAACAATCTGCAGAATACTAATAGTCATAAAACATAAAAAATCATTAAATTTTGCATTGAAAACCTAAAACGACACTTTTTGTGAAACAAAAATAAAACCTTAAAACGACACTCTTTGTGAAACGGAGGGAGTATTAGACAAGGTTACAAAAGAATATGCTAACTATAAGTTCTTATGATGAAGATATGATCTTACCTCTACATTTAGAATATCGAGGATGGAGATATAAAAGAATATGCTACTATAAATTCATATGATGAAGATATGATCTTATCTCTACATTTAGAATATCGAGGATGGCATGACATTCATTAATTCACTTGAACCTTACAGAAGAAAAGATTAGAGAATCATCTGCAAAGAGCACATGAGGTATAGGAGGCCTTAACAGAGTTAGTATGTCACCCGATTGTGGTTTAGTAATTGCACTGAGGGATTGGATATTTCAAAATTAACCCCAACTTTTACTATGTTCTTGCCAACAAATTATTTAGTTCATTGTAACGCATGTGTACTTCAACAAGTTGTTTTGGTCAATTGTGAATGTAAACGAAAAGAAATTACTTTATGTTATGTTTTATAATATGCCAAAGTATCTTTTGAAATAAAAAAAAAAAGATTTTGTCATTTTTAGATATGATTTTCTTTTGTTCACATGTAAATGCAAAATAAAGATGGACGACCATAAATGGTAATGTAATTCATTTCAATCATCGTGCATTCTAGTTTGTCTATAAATCAAGATTCCTTTGCACACAGAGAACCCATCACAAGATTGATTATCTTTGTATATCAACCTCTTTCTCTTATGGCTTCAATAAGCTTAGTTGGAGTTTCCATAGCCATCATTTGCTTTCTCATCCTCCATCGCTTCCTCATCAAGAAACCTCCCTACCGGTTCTATATAATTAGCTGGCCGGTTCTTGGGATGATTCCGGGTCTTTTCTTGGTGCTCCACCGCATATACGACTTCACAGTTGAGTTTCTTGAAAGCACCGAGTTAACATTTTCATTCAAGGGACCGTGGTTCGCTGGACTGGATATGCTGGTCACAGCTGATCCAGCTAATATTCACTACCTAGTAATCTCAAACTTCTCCAATTTTGTTAAAGGTTCCGACTTCAAAGAAGTCTTTGATGCCTTCGAAGAGGGGTTATTCGCAAAGGACTCGTTGGAATGGAAGGATCTGAACAAAGCTACTCAGGTCATGATCAACCATCAAGGATTTCAAAGATTGTCAATGAGTACCACGAGAAGTAAAATCAAGGACGGGCTTGTTCCTTTGTTTAATCATATCGCAGAGGAAGGCAAAACTGTGGACTTGCAAGATGTTTTCTTGAGGTTCACGTTTGATACATCTCTAGTTACAGTAACTAGGTGTGATGATCCTAGATCTCTCTCCATTGAAATGCCAGAGGTTGAGTTCGCTAAAGCTCTCGACAATACAGTGGAAGGAATACAATATAGGCATGTTAAACCTAGATTCTTGTGGAAGCTACAAAACTGGATCGGAGTCGGGATAGAGAAGAAGATGATAGAAGCTGGTGCCATTTTTGATCGAGTGTGTGCGAAATACATATCAGCCAGGAGAAATCATTTCACTGGAGAAAGTGAAGATCTTTTGACATCTCACATATACATCTTTATATATACAACCAAGTATCCGCTCTTGAATCCTAACAATGATAGATTCCTCAGAGACAATGTCTTAGCTTTACTTCTAGCCGGGAGAAATACCACAACCTCTGCTCTCACTTGGTTCTTTTGGCTTTTGTCCGAAAACCCTACAGTGGTGACAAAGATTCGCCAAGAGATTGACAAGATTCTACCAAGAAGTAGTAGTGGCAAAGAGAGGCCATCTTATGATCCAATGGAGTACTTAAACAAGCTAGTGTATTTACATGCCGCATTGTGTGAATCAATGAGGCTTTACCCACCGGTTCCTATCGAGCGTGTGTCTCCTGTAGAATCAGATGTGCTTCCAAGTGGACATAAGGTCGAAGCAAACTCAAAGATTTTGATCTTCATTTATGCGGTGGTAGGATGAGAGCCGTATGGGGAGAAAATGCATTAGAATACAAGCCAGAGAGATGGATTTCCGAGACCGGATCATTGAGACATGTACCTGCCTACAAGTTCTTAGCATTCTATGCCGGCCCGAGAATATGCCTTGGTAAACAAATAGCAATGGTTACAATGAAGATGGTGGCCGTGGAGATATTACAAAACTATGACATTAAGGTTGCCAAAGGGCAGAAGTTTGAACTAGATACTAGTTTAATTCTTCGAATGAAGCATGGTTTTTAGGTTACAATGAACAAGAGATGTTCATCTTAAAACTAGTGAAATAATTAATAAGTTTGTTTTAAGTTCTATTTAGAAACCATAGCCTAAGAGTATTAAATAAGGAGGCAAGTTAAAGTGTGATCTACCTTAATATTAAGCTTGTAATGGGTTTTTATTGTATGCTTAATCTTTTATTTGTTTATTAATGGGTTTTTATTGTATGCTTAAGCTTTTATTTGTTTGTTAATGGGTTTTTATTGTAGTAAAATTAAAGTGTGAGCTACATCCTGATCCGACATTGCTTTACTCTTCATCAATTCCCCTTCGTCGGTGAGATTTGCCGAATTGATCGATTTTTATTGTATTTCTTAAACTACTTCACAACCTAGATTATTTTGACTATGAGGAAATTTCTAAAAATTTTGATTGAAGTTAAAAATTTTGAAAATATCATAAAGATTTTTGATTAACTAGAGGTTTGTGGTAGTTTCTAAGAATATCGCCAATCTCTTTACATTTGGAGCAAGTGGGTGGGATCCATGGGTTATTCAACCTACACAGTACACAGTGATAACCTCCTTTTTTTGACCTTTCTACCTCAACCTCTATAGGAAGGGGTTTGGTCATGTCCTTCTCAACTTATAAATGAGCAACACTCTTACACTCACACTTGTAAGCTTTTTTAGTAAAATTATCCATTTCAACGGGATCACCTATCAAACATGCAACAAAATTGAGCCTAATTAACTTGATGTATAGGATAGAACATGATTAAGGACCAGCATATTATGACCTAAAAGGAAAACAATTCGGAAATCAAACTAGACCGCATTCAAAATTGGCCCAGCATGTCACACTATTATTGTTTCGATTATTATATGCCACTTTTTTTTTTTGGTTAGACCATTTTTCTCTACAGGAACTAAAGCAAATTAAACAGTATCCAAATTTATTTAATTTTTGTCTTCAACCGTATCCAAATTATGTATGTTTTCAAGACCAAAATCCAATTTAATGTATTTTTCTCATTGTTGACAAAGAAAGGAATTTTGTCATAAAAAATTGAGAAATTGTTAAAAATGCCCCTTTTCAATACCCTTTTCAAAAATGCCCCATTTGAGAGTCCATTTTTAAGTTTGCCCTCTTTTAATTTTTAATGACCATTTTACCCTTATTTGAAACAAAATTAGGTCCACAAAATACAAAATATTTTTTGGCGGGAAAAGTGATCCCGCAATTTTCCCGCCAAAACACTTGTAAAAACCTTTAAAATACCTTGTAAAATTTTCCCGTAAAAAAGTTTTCCCGCCAAAAAATGTTCCCGCCAAAAAAATTTTTTTTGCGGGAAAAGTGATTCCGCAATTTTTTTGGCGAAAAATTTTTGGCGGGAAAAATTTACAAAGTATTTTAAAAGTTTTACAGAGTATTTACAAGTGTTTTGTAAGGTTTTACAATGTATTTTAAAAGGTTTTACAAGGTACTTATAAGGTTTTATAAGGTATTTATAACTTGTAAAACCTTATAAAAAATTTGTAAAACCTTATAAAATAGCTTGTAAAATCTTATAATATCTTATAAATACCTTATAAATACGTTGTAAAACCTTTTAAAATACATTGTAAAACCTTATAAATACCCTGTAAAAAACCTTTAAAATAACTTGTAAATTTTTCCCGCCAAAAATTTTACGCCAAAAAAATTGCGGAATCATTTTTCCCGGAAAAAAAAATTTTTGGCAGGAAAATATTTTACAAGGTATTTTAAAGGTTTTACAAGTTTTTACAAGTGTTTTGGCGGGAAAAATTGCGGGATCACTTTTCCCGCCAAAAAATATTTTGTATTTTGTGGACCTAATTTTGTTATATTTCCTTATATATTTGTGATATCTTTTATTAAAAGAAGGGTAATTTAGTCATTTTGTACATAAAAAGGGGTATTTTTAAAAATAGACAGCCAAATGGGGCATTTTTGAAAAGGGGTATTGAAAAAGGGGCATTTTTGTGAGTTTCCCTAAAAAATTTTCATTAGCATATTTTTAATACGTACCTACAATGCAAAGTTGCAAAAAAGATGCATTATAGAAGTAGTACCACAAATTCTTTCACCAACCGTACTGCTAAGCCAAGGCATTGAAACCAAACACTGATAGGCATAACTCAACAGTAGCTACCCTTTTTTGACCATCTTCTCGTTTAATTCTCTTCTTTATTCATTTTCAATCTTACTCTATCCCACACACACACATCATTATGCCACCATTTTACATTTGATTTTAGTCTACCTTACTCATCAATCTTATATAATAAAGTAAGGTTGTCTTTTGAAGGAGCTCTGAGAAGCTGACAAGTGGCGTTCTGAGAAACTGACAAGTGGCGCCCTGAGAAGCTGATCCTCCACGTGTTGTGGGACTTACCTGCGATGGCGGGTATTTGGATGTGATTGGTTCCTCAAAGGAGACACCAAGCTGTCTTCACTAAAACATTTTTGGAATTGTTGTTCGTCTAATTGGGGGCTGGATCGGATATCAGTAGTGAGAATTGGGCGATGATGTTTAGTATGGCGGTTTGGTGGGGATGGAATTGGAGGTGTACCAATGTATTTAGGGAGCAAAAAACATGTCGTGATAAAGTACGATTTGTTAAAGACATAGCGGCAAAGGTTAGGCGAGCTCATGTTGCGGTTAAGAGTGGAACTCATACGGTTGAACGCGGCGTGATGATGATAAGATGGAGAGCACCGAGTGTAGGGTGGGTGAAGCTCACAACCAATGGGGCTTCTTGTGGGAACCGAGGCCTGGCGGCTGCTGGGGGTGTGATCCGAGATGGAGATGGGTTATGGCTAGGAGGGTTTGCGCTTAACATAGGAATATGTTCAGCTCCCTTGGCCAAACTTTGGGTGTGTATTACGGTTTGGTGATTGCCAAGAGTGGAGTTAGAGTTGGATTTGGATTTGGTAGTTGGGTTTCTATGCACAGAGATAAGTAATGTTCATCTGCTGGTGTTTATGGTATGTTTGTGCCAAGGCTTTCTCTCAAAGGACTGGTTACTCTGGGTTGCTCATGTGTAAAGGAAAACTAATCGTCTAGCCGATGAATTAGCAAACGATGCATTTTTGTTACAATTAGGATTTCATTCTTTTGATTTTTGCCCTGATGTAATTCATTTGGTTATGTTGGAGGATGCTAATAGCGTGAAATTTCCACGTGATATTCGTATGTAATTTCTTTTATAAATTAATAAATTGTAAGGGATAATTGTCACCTCTCCCCTACCAAAACAAAAACTAATAAGATGACAAATAATAAATATATTTTCAAGTAAAGCAAAACAAGTTATATATAAATTAAACGGGATTCAACACTAAACAATGAAAAATTAATAATGTAAAAGTAAAAACAAAACAAACTCCACCACCTAGTATATACTAATTGAGCAGTCATTTTCTCAATAACTGCAACGTTCTCTATTTGACACGTAAACAAATTATTACCTGGCATCCTCACAGTTTTTTAAATTTTAATGAGCAACTAATTATTTTTCAGAAAAATAAAACAATTCCTAAAAAAACTCCCATCTCAACAATAACACGATCTCCTAAAATCTCTATGATCTTATTACTAAAAACGAATTATTATTCACAAGATCGTGTAAAAATAGGTAACTGATTCAAAACATCAATTAATTCCCACTTTCTCACTATTTTTTCCATGACTGATGAATCAGATGCCTTACTACTAGATTTTTCCGAACTGTTTCTTTCTTCTTCTTTCTCCCTCTATCTCTCCCAGTCATCTGGTCTCTTTGAGATTGAGAGTCTGATCCGTTTCTTTCTTTAACAATAGAACAACAACATCAATTAATACAAAAGCCTCTACTTCTCTTTTTTTCTATTAGGTAATTTTTTTTTTGAAGTTGTCGTTTTTAAAATGGTCATCAAATTTTTTATTCTAATTAGTCGTGGGTGTATGCGAACAATGCCAACACAAATATTTAGCAGCACCATCGTAACTTTGCCCTTTTTCAACTTGCAGGATGTACGCCACCATTTCCAGAAATTTCAGAAACGTAATGGTCATTCAGTTCATAGTTCGATTGATAGTGATGCTACTTTTATGTGAGAAAATGCAAAAGCCATCAAATCATGAAAAAGACAAAGCTTTTCATGTGAAGAACGCATCACAAGGAGTGTTAGAATTATCCCACATCGGAAATAAATAAAATCCTTGGGCAATATATATAGTGTGAGGCAAACCTCCTCTCTTGAGCTAGCTTTTGGGTGTTGAGTTAGGCCCATTACTAATATGGTATCAGAGCCAAGGTTCAACATTCTCGATAGTGGGCTACTACCCGTGGATGTCCAGTCCCACAAACTTCACGCTTCAGATGTCCAGTCCTGAGCGTGAGGGGGATGTGTTAGAATTATCCCACATCGGAAATAAATAAAATCCTTGGGCAATATATATAGTGTGAGGCAAACCTCCTCTCTTGAGCTAGCTTTTAGGTGTTGAGTTAGGCCCATTACTAATATATGTATCAAGCTGTTTTGCATGGGCAAAGCGACGAAAGGATGACATATGTGTTAGATCACATAACAGATCACTCTCAAGAGGTCACATTCCTAACCTGTTGGGACCTTCTCTTGCTTTTAGTGAGAACACTGACGTTGACTCTTAACATAAATGAGAAAGAAATTGAAGAAAATCATGGGGCAAGACCGAATTCCCAAAGACCGTGAGGCGTGTGAGATGTTGAAGCTTTCAATGCTAAAGAAGTGGAGGCAACTTGAACGACCAGATTCTTTTGATGCTTCTGACGAGTATCATTCACAGGAACTGTCAATGGCAATTTATCAAAGAGAAGAAAATGCAGCCATTTGGTACGTTCGTAGATTATAGAAGCAATCTTTTCTTTCCCATAACTTTTTTTCTGATATTATCATTCTAATTAAAGCTTAGTATTTTTTATTTTTTTTATTTTATAAATTTCTGAAATACATATATATTCTTTTATCAATGTAATAATTTTCTAATTATTTACATATTTATTTTAAATTAATTTGATGTTAAAATTTTGTTAATTTTTATAAAATATTAACAAAATTTAAGTCCATGCAAGGCATGGGCCATAATGCTAGTATTTAAACATAAGTTACGATTTAAGGCCACAACCACCTTATCGTGTCGCTTATTTGGCACCATACGGATTCTAAACCGTTTTTCTTTCCTTATTTGGTACCATACGGATTCTATTTACAATGGAATTTTTCATTCAAGCTACATACGAAAAAATTACAACTTTTATCTAAAAGTTACAAAGTTTTACAATTTCCTAATTGACTTTGTATAATTTCCATTACTATATTAAAACTATTCAGGCTATTTCAAATACAAAAAACATCCAGTTGTTTTATAAAATATCTTAAAACGTTATAATATCATAATACTCGTGGTCAAATGGATATAATTTTCTATGGTTACCAAAGTACATGCTTATACTCAAAGTACGATATTGAGGAGAAAAGTATTGGAAAACCGGAATATATGCATGTTTGTTCCAAATAATTTGAGTAACTTTAAAGCATATGATATACACATACACATTTTCTAGAATATTAGCATCTCATTGCTCTCCTTATATAAACCAATTAGTCCCGCTTCTTCTTCTTCATCAAATCCTCAAACAACTTTAAGAACAAAAGAGTGCTTTTGAGAACTCAAACCAAAAATAATAAAATGGCATTCTCGAAAAGAGTCATCATTTTCGCGATGATCTTTGCGGTTTTCGCAATAGTTAAGTCCTCATAAGCTGCTCTTAGTGCTCATTACTATGATCAATCATGCCCTGCTGCTGAAAAAATTATACTTGAAACGGTTAAGAACGCTACTTTGTATGATCCTAAAGTGCCTGCTCGATCGTCTCCTCAGAATGTTCTTCCACGATTGCTTCATCAGGGTATGCATCTTGATCTTCTTTCTTTGATTGTAGATAATGATATGAAGTTGAATTCTGAGTAAATTATTTGCTTTGGTTGTTGTAGGGATGTGATGCGTCTATTCTAGCTACTAGATTCGACTCAGTCCAACCAAGCTGAGAAGGATGGTCCTCCAAACATTTCGGTACGGTCATTTTACGTGATCGAAGATGCTAAGAGAAAGCTCGAAAAGGCTTGTCCTCGTACTGTGTCTTGTGCCGATGTAATCGCCATTGCAGCTAGAGACGTGGTCACCTTGGTGAGTGGTCCCTTTATGGTCTATATATCCAGTTAACGATTTTGGTTTCGATTCAATTCTAATGTAATATTTCTCATTTATTAGTCTGGTGGTCCTTACTGGAGCGTACTAAAAGGACGAAAAGACGGGACAATTTCGCGAGCCACTGAGACTAGAAATCTCCCAGCACCAACGTTCAATGTTTCTCAACTGATCCAAAGCTTTGCAGCAAGAGGCTTGTCGGTGAAAGACATAGTTACGCTCTCAGGTGGCCACACCCTAGGGTTCTCTCACTGTTCTTCTTTCGAGGCCCGTCTTCAAAACTTCAGCAAAGTCCACGACATTGATCCTTCGATGAACTATGCGTTCGCACAAACCCTGAAAAAGAAATGCCCGAGATCATCTAACCGAGGCAAGAACGCAGGGACAGTCTTGGACTCTACTTCCTCGGTTTTCGATAATGTTTACTTCAAGCAGATTTTGTCCGGGAAAGGAGTGTTTGGGTCTGATCAGGTGCTTTTAAGCGATTCCCGAACTAAGTGGATCGTTGAGACATATGCTCAAGACCAAAAAGCTTTCTTCAGAGAGTTTGCAGCTTCCATGGTGAAACTTGGAAACTTTGGAGTCAAGGAGACTGGACAAGTGAGGCTTAACACCCGCTTCGTCAACTAAAAGCATAACCCTATAGAAGAGGCAACCAAATGAGAGTTTTCTTTTCTTCAAATTTGATTTCATTTATATATGATATTATAATAATGTCGACCGGCCAATTTATGGATCGGTTTTATAACCTTCTAATTCTCTATGAGTTGCAGAGTATGCTTTAAAAGTAAATTTGTTCTGCTTCAGTGAACTTACCTTTATATTCATCAGACATTATCACTTACTGGTCACCAAATATGAGTCATTTAACATCAAACAGACATGGAAAAATGAGTCATGCACTCAACTCATGGCTTGTTATAAACGCTGAACCAGCGGAAACATGAGCTAGATTCGGGTAAATAGTGATCTAGACAAGCTTAATCGATACAGAGAAGTTGAATCAGTGTTCTTCATGCAAAAACAACATCAGAACGGAAAACATACTTGACGCCTTTGGAGACATTCCTTCCTTCGTGCAGCATGCACTTGTCTCCATGGATGTGAAAGAGAGCCATACCTTCCACTGGAGCTACCTGCGATAATAAGCAACTTTTATTTTGATGGTACATCAGATAAAAAATGAAATAGACGGGTAAACTACTTGGGAGTTACCTCAGCTACAATACTGTTCCTCGAACCATAAAAGACGGTTTCTCCACCTACTAAAGGCTCAGCTGAAGAAGAATCATTTGTCTTGCTTGAACTGCTCTTGGATTTTGATTTGGTGCAGATATATTAACAATGTGTAATAAGTCCGTTTTCCATCTTCAAGATCAGCACTTTCATCGATGTGTTTACCAATATGCTGACCAGCACCATACCTAAAATTAACAATAACATTGTGACAGAAAACTTTAGGAATTTTCTCCCGTGACGAATCTACAACGTTTGTAAAGGAACACATCCATAGACTACCAATGGAGAAACATGAAAAGAACATATTCTTTGCATATCTTTCCACAATTGAACCATTACCAGGAAACAAAGAATGAAACTTCAAAAAAGTTGAGACTGCAAACCTGTAAAATCTAATGTTTGGATTCAAGCCAACAGCAACCTTTCTCCTAATCTTGATATCAGTAAATAAATTAGAAAGCCCGGATTGCCATATCGAATCAGCAAGGACAGGATCGTTCACTGAGATCCGATGGTTATCCCTATAAGCTTCACCATAGGCTGGGCCACGACTTCCTTGGTGGGTGAAACCGAGAGACTCTGCGATTTTAACAAAGGCCTTTGATTCATCAGAAGTAAGACAATTCTCCACCTGAATTCATAAAACCCAAAAGTTAAAATTATGAATAGAATCATAGGCAAAGAACACTTAATTGGCTCATCCATATATAACCTTTGGATAAAGCTTTAAACTTTAATTTCTACATGAACTAAAGATCCAAAATTTGGCTTACTAGTAACTAAAACAAGAAGAAAGTGAAATTGGGTTGACGATTTTTTGAGGAACTTACGGTGAAGAGATCATGATTCTTCAGATAAGAGACATTGAGTTTCGATTTGAGTTTGATCTTAGGCCATTTTATTCTGAGGAAAATGTAAAGATCAGAGAATTTAAATGTGTTAAATTCATTTATAATTTTCTTTAGTTAATCAAGATGACATATACATTTTTGGCCTTCTCCTTTTTAAGTTACAAAAAGAAGAATATGTTCTCGAGACCCATCAATATGTTAAAGCCCAAGCCTATACTTAGCCCATTTTAAGTGTTTCTTTGATACGAATTTCGATAGGCATGGAAGAATTAGGAATTTATTTTTAGGTGTCTGTCTTTAGTTCTTTCACTATGTCATTACTAGGCATGTCAATCGGGCTAGCCCGGCCCGGCCCGGCCCGAAGCCCACAAAACCCGTACATATTTGAGCCCGGCCCGGCCCGGCCCGTAAAAATTCCGAGCCTATATTTTAAAGCCCGGTCCGGCCCTAAAAGGGCTACAGGGCTTTTTCGGGCTTTTTTGGGCTTTTCTTCCGACAACAAAAAAACAAACTTATAAGTTATAATATCTCTTAAAAAAGAATGTATATATGAAACGAGTCAATCAAAATTTAAATAACCACTAACGCTAATTTAGTTTTTAAAAAAGAGAGTTAAAATCAAATAAATAATCCAAATAAATTGTTTAAACTTATACTAGATAAAATATAAAATCAAAATAATTCAAATTAGGTAGTAGAGCTAATATTTGTTTTTTCGATTTATAGTAATACACAACAAAAAAACTATGTTTAGAGTTTTCAACTCTATCAAACACTTTTTTTACAACAAATCTTACAGTTAAATAAAAATATTAAAAAAAAAAGATCAAAATATTTTTTAAAGGGCTTTTCGGGCTAGCCCGAGCCCGGCCGGGCTAAGCCCAAAAAACCCTTTAGCCCGAACGGGCTTAGCCCGAAAGGCCCGATATTTTCTGGACATATATTTTTAAGCCCGAGCCCGCTGTTTTTTAGGGCTGGGCCGGGCTAGCCCGCGGGCTTTGGCCCTAATTGACATGTCTAGTCATTACATACTTGGGTTCAAATCTAGTGTCATATCGTTGTTGAGAAGAAAACCAAGTAGATATCACCAACTAGAACTATATCATTGCTTATCACGTTTAAATGTTTAATATTGTATAAGACCGTTTCAGGTTTGTATTTGCAATAAACAACATCTTGACGTCAAAAAAATATAAAATAAAAATAAATAAACAACATCATTTTGTAAAACAGTTGAAACGGTCTTAGCTGATGAGTATGTTTTTTTTTTTTTAGTGACAACAAATCAACTTTGCACATTGCTACAAAATCTAGTTTTTTTTCACAAGAAAACGAACACATTGTCACATTGATACTGTCACATTGTTCGTGATTAACTTAAAAAAAGCAACACTCCTTTTATCAACCTGTCGTTGATAAAAAATACTTCAGGAGGTGTATCAAGAATTAAACCAATCCTTGTTTGACTCCAATTTATAATGGCTTGAGACTTGGTTAAGTTGATTGGTTGTTAGAAGTTTGTAATAGTGTTTATTTATGAGCCTAATTGATAGCTATACAATTGAGAGAAGTTTGTAATCAGAAAACTATTCGTTACTCTCTTTTTATCTCTCTCTCTGGTTTTGAATCTCCTTAAGTGTCCTACATTTTTACTAGAAATTAAGTTATCACCTTTGACTTCTTGCTTTGAATCTCCTTCTCGTTTTTCAAGAAATCATTTCTTGATTTTGTCTGAATGAAATTTCCTTTCGGCTTAATTTAGTAATTAGGGTTTCAAATCTGATGAATCTTGAAATGAATATCGCAGGAACGATGGTGAGAGGGAAGATCGAGATCAAGAAGATTGAGAATGTGACGAGCAGACAAGTCACGTTCTCTAAGCGAAGGAGCGGTCTCTTTAAAAAGGCTCGTGAGCTTTCGGTTCTATGTGATGCACAAGTCGCCGCCATTGTCTTCTCTCAGAGCGGAAGATTATACGAATACTCTAGCTCCGAGTAAGATATTATTTCATTTAATTATTTCTAGATTCTACATATATCTAATTCCAAATCTATCTCTACATATAGATTAAATGAGTGTCTACAACTTCTATAATGAATAGTTCTTTCTCTTTCTGGCCAAATCGTACTAAAGATTTTGCAATATACACACGTTAGAGATTTGGTCCCTTTTTTTCTTGAGCTAGCTTGCCCAACAAATGCCTTGTCACATTCTAATTTAATTTTTGTAAATACTTCTGGATTTTACTAAATGTGCCAAACTTAAGTATAATATACTAAGTAATTGCAAACTCAAAAGTTTGACTAAAAGGGTTGTTCTTCAAGCACGAGCAAGTGGATTAGGGTTTTCAGAAAAGAGGTTTCTTGAACAGTGATCCTCGTATTCCTTGGAACTTAAACTGTTACCCACATTACCCACTTGGCATATGGTTTCATTAGAATATCCAACAAAAATGAATATCCGAAAATATATAATTACATGAAAGTACAGAAACTTGTTTATATTATGCATGGGAAGAAGATTTCAAAAAATTTATCGGGGATCCAAACTTTTTTCACTAGATTTTCAATCATGAATATTCATTATAGCCAACAAAAAGTCGGTTCATAGTTCATGTCATAATGCCCTTTGTTTTTTTTTTTTGTGGTAATATTGGCTTAAAAATAGTGTATAGTCTTTGTTAAAAAAAAAAATAGTGTATAGTGTAGAATTCATTTTGCATTTCATGCTTAACAACCTTTGTGCAGTAAGTAACTAATTCTTCATTGGGTTGGTGATTGCGAAAATGAATCTTTCTAATGTTATCTAAATTAGATATCTAATTTTATACAAATCTTGATTGGCAATCATGGTAGTCCGTATAAAATGATAACATGTATTTATATATTTTTAGAATGTTTTACACATGATATTTCCTCTCTATTTCTTTTTCTCCATCCACCATTAAAGCTCGTTGTTTACTTCTTCTTCTCTATCCACTAGTAAGTATACTTGTTTTTTTAGTGAATTATGATTGAGAAAAGTTGAATTCGTAGCTTGAATGCAGTTTTTGGTAGAAAAAATTGGGAATTGTAGATTTGGAACAACTGAAACCATTAGGTACAACTAAGTATAATATTACCGAAACCCTAAATTTGGTGCAATTGGGACAAATGAGTACAACTATGTTGATGGACTGCTACGAAAAATATAAAATTATAGACCATTTTCTTTCTCTCTTTCTTTTTCAGGGACAATAAAAAAGAATTCAGTCATGCGCTTTAATTTGCTTGTGCTTATGCTTTGGAGAACATAGAAGAAAATGAGGTAAGAAGAGGTCGAAGAGGCCGAGTAGTTTAGGCGAGTGGTTTACCAATGATGGTAACAATGATGGTGACGTTGATGGGACGATGAGGGTGACCAAGGTTGATTTCTAAGTGCCATTATTAGGATGATTTAAGAAGCGATGTTGTTTGTATTGGTTTTGTTTGTGAAACTTACTTGTTCTGTTTCGTACAACTAAGTTTTAACAGATACAACTCTGGTTGATTTTTTTATCGTATCTATACAAATTAAATTGTTTTGTCTTGGTACAACTAAGTACAACCTGTACAACTAAGGTCTATTGCCTTGGCTAGTTTTCAGAGTTTTATATAATATGAAAATTTAAAACCAAATAAAAAAATCTTAAAAAATGCATACTCGGTGGTAATGAAACTACACAAGAAGTTTTTGACAAAAAAATTCATATTTTCCTAAATTAATGAAATTCTTATCACAAAATCTCGCATTCATACACTAACAACCTTATACTTCCATTGTTACTTTGTAGATTTGAACTAAAAAATTTTAAATTTTTGAAATACTTGTATTTTGATAAATATAACTACACTCATACAAAGAAATGGTATTTTGATGAGACAATACCATCGGTTCCACCCACAAAAATTAATTTAGAGTTGATAACAACTAGATTTACTAAATTCTCGATATTGTACAACTATGAGCAAAAATGTGCAACCGAGTACAACTGTACAACTATGAACAAATTTTAGATATTTATGTTAGATATTTCTCAGATATTTTTAGATATTTGTAGATATTTCTTTTATTTTTTATTTTAATCAAAATACTTAGATTCACCAAAAAAAAAAAAAAAGTAAAATACTTTTTTTTCAACACTATATATTTTTTAACATACTTAGTAGATTCATAGTGTTGTTGTGAATTTTTTGATCAAAACACTTTGACTCATAGTTTTTTGGTGATTTTTCTGTCAAAAAAACTTAGATTCATACAAACCCAGATACATAGTTGTACATAAGTGTACCAGTTGTACCTAAACACTTAGATTCATACATAACATTAGAAACCAAAACACATCTGAACACACCAAGTCTTCTTCTGCTTCTTCTTCTCTTTATCCTTCTCCTTCTCAGTCTCAGTCTCAGTCTCAGTCTCAGTCTCCTTTTCCTTTTCCTCCTCTCGTAATAGAGAAACAAATGTTATAGGCTAATATATACGTACAAAAAATTTCATCTATGTCTGCAATCCACTCCTTATTAACTTACTTGAAACCAGATTTCTTCCAAAATTGACCAAGAGAAATCAATCATTTTAAGAAGAGTTTACAAACAAAGTTACAACTTTCACTCAATATCTCCAAATAAAAACAAGAAAAAGTAGCTACATGTCGTCCGAATTTCAAACCCGAATTGTAATTCAAATCCTATTAGTAATCTTAAAATCCGAACTGTAATCATAAAAAATCCTAATTGTAATCGAAATTCCATTACAAAATCAAACCCTCACAGAGAAGAAGAAATTGGAAGAAATCAAATCCTAATTAAACCCAACACAATAAAACAAAATTAGGGATCAAACAAATGAAATCTTACAAAGAGAAGACACGACGGATTTCTCGATTTCACTGCGAATTTCTCACGAAGAAGAAGAGAGAGGACGGATCTTTGGATCGATAGAAACGAGTGAAGAGGGAAGATGAAAAAGATGAATGAGTATCGATGGAATCGAGAAAAGAGAGAAAAAAAAAGAAGAAAGAAGAAGAAGAAAAGAGATTGAAAGCTTTGTGTTTGTCGGATTGTTGACTCGAGACAGAGAGAAACGAAGAAGATGAAAAAGTCGTAGAGAGGAGAAATAAAAAAAGGTGATTTGGAAATTAGTGTTTGGATTCGACTTTGGGGATAAAATATCCGAAAGTCATATGGATCTAGATCCAACTGACTGGTTGGGTCGTAAATAAGTGAAAACTCCTTGTTTTATTTGTCTTTTACTATTTTTCTGAATTAAAATAAACTATTAACTATATTAATTATATTACGAGGCTAAATGGAATGGATTTTGAGTACAGGGGCCGACTAGATTAAAATCCTTCTTCTTCTTCTTCCCCAAAAAAAAACCCTAATTTCTAGATCCATCTCTAAGAAACTCTCGTCGTTCCTCTTAAACATGGCTTCGAAGCTCCCGATGCAAAACATCGACAACGCCAATGTTGCGAAGGCTCCGGCATCATCGCTAGCTTCCGCTGGGAATACAATTGAGCATATCCTACTTTGTCCTGATTCTTATATAGTTTCGATTGAGAAACATACCCAAACGCTTTGGGTTTATGAGAAGGAAGAGATGGTTTGTCGTTCTGTTACTTATGTTCCTGGATTGTATAAGATCTTTGATGAGATCCTTGTGAATGCTGCTGATAATAAACGGAGAGATCCGTCTATGGATTCTGTCAAAGTTGTGATCGATGTTGAGAAGAATCAGATTAGTGTGTGTAACAGTGGTGATGGAGTTCCTCTTGAAGAAGGTGTTTTTGTGCCTGAGATTTTTTTTGGTCATTGGTTGAGGAGGAATTACGATAATAATGTTAAGAAGACTACTGGTAGAAGAAACGGATTTGGTGCTACGCTTACAAACATCTTCTCTACTGAATTCATTATAGAGATTGCAGATGGGAAGAGATCACTCAAGAAGTATAAGCGGGTATTGGAATCGTTTTATTTGCTTTCTGTGTTGAGTTTTAGATTTCGATTGATTAGAGTAATTTGAGGAATTTTGATTGACATTACTGGTGATGTTTTAGGTCTTTGAAAACAATATGGGGAACATGTCTAAACTATTTATAACCAAGTGCAATAAGGGTGAGAATTGGACGAAGGTTACATTCAAGCCTGATTTGAAGAAGTTTAACATGACTGAATTGGAGAACGATGTGGTTGCTCTAATGAGTAAGCGAGTGTTTGATATTGCTGGCTGTTTGGGACAGACTGTCAAAGTTGACCTGAATGGAAAACAAGTACCAATTAAGTCATTCAGTGATTATGTTGATCTCTACTTAAGTGCCGCCAGTAAATCAAGGACTGAGCCTCTCCCAAGGTTTGTTCTATGATTCGTTATTGAGTTATAACAATTTTGGTGTCTTGGAATAGATTTTGATCTTTTTGAGTTTTTGTGTGAGTAGGATGAATGAGAAAGTTAATGATAGATGGGAGGTTTGTGTGAGCTTAAGTGATGGACAGTTTCAACAGGTATATATATATATATATATATATATATATATATATAATGGCTGGCTATTATTACCTTTTGTTCTTCATGATGAATGAGTAAACTCGTTTTTGGCTACTAACAGGTTAGCTTTGTCAACTCCATTGCGACAATTAAGGGTGGTACGCATGTTGATTATGTGACCAGCCAGGTCACAGAGTACATTGTGGGTATTGTGAACAAAATGAAGAAATACCCTAATGTCAAGACTCATAATGTGAAGAACCATCTGTGGGTCTTTGTCAATGCTCTGATTGACAATCCTGCGTTTGATTCTCAAACAAAAGAAACACTGACTCTTCCAGAGAGAAGTTTCGGGTCGAAATGTCAACTTTCAGAAAATATCCTTCAGAAAGGTATCGTGTGTTGATCTAAAGAAATGTGAACTTTCAGTTTGCTTGATCCATCTTTTTATATTAGTGTTGTAACTGCTTTAAAGAAGAGTCCTTAATGATTTCTTTTCTATATAATGTTTGTTTTAGTGGCCAAATCTGGCTTGGTGGAAAACTTGCTTTCGAACTATGAGGTATGATGGATTGAGTTATCTTTAAAATATCTGTGCTTTGCTTGTTATATATGCATGTTCTGATGTCCCTGTTTTCCCATTCAGCCTGGCACTCATATTTTTCCATCGATGGTTGATGACCTCACGCTGCTGAAACTAGAGATAGCTAATGATCAGAAGTTGAGAAAAAAATGGTTAACAGAAATCCTGGAAAATGCCAAGCCTGTCGAAGCAGCAGTTGCTGGAGCAACTAATGCAGCTGAAAGCTCATACTATAATTACCTATTGCAATTGTCTGTTTTGATTACAGATACAGTACAAGAGGTAAGGGCACAGAGAGATCAAATGATGGATGCAGTTGAAGACTTGAAAAACGCCACACCGGAATCCCTCAGGCTCAAAGAACTAGAGGTAAGGATGCACAATGCTAAGCCTTATTTATAACGCTTCACATTAGGAAATTACCACATTTTGTCATTGATACATCTTTTCCTCTTATCGCAGGAACTTGATAAGCAAGATGCTCAACCCGATGAAGAGAGACAGGCGCCAAAGAAACCGGCACCAAAGAAAGCCAGTGAATCTGTAACAAAAGAGGCTTCAAATTCAGCAATGGACACAGGTTAGTCTTGTGCTCAAATTGTTTTTCATTGTGTTTTGTTTTTCTAGGTTTGATCTAATATAACAGTAAGCTGTTAATAACAATCACATTTTTGACAAAGAAACATTGATCAAACAGAACTGCTTGCATGTAATGCCTGTCCTGAAGTTTAGCCTTTTCTTTTTCTGTGTCAACAGAAACAACTGAAACAGCGAAAGAAATTTCTCTGGATGACGATGATGACGACGTGGTAGTGTCCCCGGAGAAGAAAGTGAGGAAGCTGAGATCGTCTCCGTTTAACAAGAAGAGTAGTTCAGTGATGAGCAGGTTGGCTAATAAGGAAGAGGAGAGCAGCGAGAATGCAGCTGGAAACTCATCGTCAGAGAAATCTGGAGATGTTTTTGCGAATAGGGGGTATGTGTGGTGGAGTGATTCGGAGAGTGAATCTGGGAATGAGTCTGAGTTTGACATTGAAGACGATGAAGATGATGAGTAGAGTTAGAGAGAACTAACTCGGTTGTTGATAATGATTCAACTTAATTTCAAACTTTAGTTTCTCCCTCTCGTCTTCTTTAGAGTTTGGTGTTATTATTCTCATGAAAGACTTATTTTCTCTAAGGATTGGCACAAAACTCTGTTTTCTCTATTGATTATGCATTTAGTTTCATTAATCATTTTCTTCTCTTTGGTTGGTCACAACTCATATGGATCTTTTGGTTTTAGCATAAATAAGCGAGATTGTGTATGATGGCACAATCTAATTTTGGTCATATTTTTTCAAGTCAGTTAGCTTTAAAAATAATTTGGGGATTATTTCTATGATTCGTTAACGTATGTAATGTATGTATATATCTTTATCAAAAAAAAAAAAAAAAATGTATGTATGTATAACCACAAAAATGGGTTTATTATCTATCTTAAGTTGGCTAACTTCGTAACATCTTAAATCAAAATTCAATAACCACACTGATTCGATAATTACCTTAAGTCCATGTATGGAGAACAAGGTTCAATTGAAGTGACTTGTAAAACCGGCATATAAGTTCACCCCTAACCACTCCTTTGTCAACCCAAACCGATATCTAATTTCTTTTTAATTGTAAAATCTAAACCGTAACCACTCTTTTTTTTATATAACATCAACCTAACCACTCCTTTATAAACCCAAACCGACATATAATTTCGTAAAAATTATAAAATCTAAACCCTAACCACTCCTTTATAAACCTAAACCGATATATAATTTTGTTTAATTGTAAAATAAAATATTTAATTGGTGGAATCCATAATTGATTTAATTTAGTTGTTTTATTTAAATATTATTAATTATTTTAATTAGTTTATTTAGATGATATGGCTAATTTTGATTGGTTAGTTAGAAGGAGGTGAATAAAAAGGATTCACCCCTAGGGGTGAATAAAAAGGATTCACCCCTAGGGGTGAATCCAAGAATCGTTCGCCATTCATGGTCCTAGTAAACATTCAAAGTCTTAGGGGGGGTTTATTGGTTTATGGATTTGTAAATCCACATCGAATTTGGAAATCTTTAATAATTTTGAAATCAAGACATATGAATTTTGAAATAACATGTGTTTACCCACGGATTTGAATCCTTCTATTTTTCACTATGAAATCCATTCAAATCCTATTATTTTAAAATATGGATTTTGAAATCCAAAAACAAATCACTAAACGAATAATATAGTATTTTAATTAGTATTTATAAATCATCGAACTAATAACACATGATTTTGATAAAGATTTTAAAATCAATGATTGAATAACACATGATTTTTGTATGAATTTCCAAATCTATTAATTAGTTCAAAAACACAACTAACTTTTAAAAAAGACCAGAAATATGGATTAGTTCAAAAACACAACTAACTTTTAAAATATGAATTTTGAAATCCAAAAACAAATCACTAAACGAATAACATAGTATTTTAATTAGTATTTATAAATCATCGAACTAATAACACATGATTTTGATAAAGATTTTAAAATCAATGATTGAATAACACATGATTTTTGTATGAATTTCCAAATCTATTAATTAGTTCAAAAACACAAATCTTTTTACATATTAAATTATTTAATTTATAATTTTCTTAACATTATCTTTAAATCTCTAACCGTTAGATATGACACGTGTCGCAATCTCTTGAGTTAGTAACTTCGAAAACCCAACTTTATATAATAAGATGGCATAGAATTTTCATATTCTATTATCTTATATCAATCTTAAGAGAAGAAAGTAACATTTGACTAATGTCAGTGGCCTCTCAATTCTCATTAACCTAACATGTTAAAATCAATCAAAGCAGTCCTTAATCCTTATCTTACCAATAAGACTTACTTTTGTTTATACTATTGTGATATTAACTAATAAAAAAAACAGAGTTTTAACTTTTAACTATAATAAATAGCATACCTTCCATTTCCAAGATTTTCCGTGGTCATGTCTCCGACTTAGAATTTTCTCGCATGTGACATTGGTTTCTACAACTCTTGTCTCCGAATTATCATGATTCTATCGTCGGATTATCATATTTCTCTGTTATTGCTTTTAATTTTGTTGTTTCAAACAATGAGAATGTTTATTTTCCTAAGGCTAGTACTACATTTGAATGATTGAATGATAAAAAAAAGTTGTTTGTTTATAACTAATATAAGATCTAAGACTGATAGTAACAACAACTCAATCAAAATCTTTAACTCAAAATCAAAGTTTTGTCTATCAAACTCAACATAAGGAACACTTTTAAGACAATCGAATTTAAGATTTAAAACCCTTCAGTTCAAATGTGAAATTCATATGTACCTCTTTTTTGTCCATTTGTGTATCTCTCTACTCAATTGGCAAAACAAATCATACACAACTTCCACTATTCACATGAGAGTTTTTTGATCAAATCTTTTGGCAAAACTCTTTGATGTTAAGATGCATTCAAAGCACTGATATTTAACGGGGTCTCGCAAAGCTTCCATAGCTTCACTGATTCGCTTAAACGGACTGGAACCTTGTTTGACCAGTCACTAAGATCAGGTAAGCCTCCGGTTAAGGCAACAAAGTTGAGATCTTGTGAATCTGGTGTTCTCTTCCAGCTAACCTGCAACAACGAATAATCGCAAACTGGGTTTTAATCTTTTGGTTTTTTTCATTTTAGAGTAGTTAGCAAAAGAATATGAAGATGAAATGTGTTACTTACTTGTCCAGGAAATGCTTCTGACAAGATCTTGACAGTAGAATTCAACATCCAAGCTAAATCATCTAACACCAACTGTGGTTTTCCATTCTGTACTTCTTTTTCGATTCCCGCACAATTCACCATAAGGCGACCCTTAGGCATTAACCTACTAGCAAGTTCCAGCCACATTGGGATCTGTACAAACTCATATTCAAAAATACTCGGTGTCACAAAGTTGACTATATAATACTAATACCATAACCAGTTAAAGTACCTGTTGCAGCTGATCTAAAACTTTTCCATCAGTAAACAAATCAACGATGATACCTAAAATCGACATAAGAATTCAAGAATTCAGAAAAGAACTAGAGAATAAGCAACATACATTAAATAAGCAACATACATTAACCTGTAAATCTCACCAGCATATCTTTTTGAATCATCTTGAGAAGGAGAGAGAGCATCATCTACATGAATACAAAGTCTACCGCCTTTTGATGTCGGTATCTCTAGCTCAGACAATCCGAGATAGTTTCTTGCTTTCTCAATCAACTACTGTACATAGAATAAAATCACAAGTGAGCTCAAGATTCCAATATTCAAACGAAAAGCCGCAAGAAAATCCGATAGCTTACTTACAATTTCATCGATTTCCCAACCTTCAAGCTCCGTTGAAGGCCACAACTCAAGAATCAATCTCGCAGTTGTTCCACCACCCTAAAAAACACATGAACAAAAATTTAAAACACATCATTGACTAAATTGAAAACCTATGTTAATGTACATCTCAGACAATCGGTATAAGATTCATCGCGTAGTTTCTCACCAAGCCGTAGATTGCAATGGGACCATTAGGGATAATAGGCGGCAAACACGCCGACTCATCCTTCAAATTTCAAACAAAAATGATGATAGGATAAAAAATTAAGCACAAGAACAACATTTACCTATCAACGGAGAAACAACTAAAGCTATGATTTTTGCAACTTTATTATGATGTAAAAATGTAACATACCCAATAAGCTCCAGTCCAATTCTGGCCTCCTTTATTGATAACACTATGCACATTCCCTACATAATGAAAAACTTAGGTTACAATCAAAGGAACTGATATCCAAAAACAGAGGAATTAGGGTTTTAAAAATCTCACTAGTGGAATCAAGAAGAAGATATCTAGATGCAAAAGTATCCACTATAACAATCTCATTGTATCTGCTTCTTACAGCTGTCACAACTGTAAACTCTCCTTCATCTTCTTCGATACCAGATTCACTTTGCTTGAGGCAAAAGAAAATTGAGAATCTGGGTTTCTTTTGAGATAGGTTTATGAACAAGGGTTTTGAAAATTGAGATGAAAGGAAGAAACTTTGGTTGCAAGAAAGTGAATGTAGAGATGAGATAGCCATGGAAGAACTCAAAGCTGCCATTTTTTGGTTTGTTTTCAGTGATCTCTTTGTGTCCAAAGTCTTATCCTTTCTTCAGATTACAGAGTCTTTAGCTCAAAAGCAAGATTGACTATTTGCAACGGTAAGTGTCTTGCCGTTTATTGATTGTACAAACGGCACTATATTTTTGATTGTAGAATGTCAAATTTTGTGTTTCAACTCTCCACCTGAGCTGACAAACGGACCGGTCCAAAACTTATCCTGAAACGGCATAGAACATAACCTGAAACTATAACCTGAACATAACGTGGATTGAATTTGACTTGCGGACTTTGTCTGCTTTAACAACTTTAACGAGTGTTGAGAAAAACGACACGATTTGTTCTCTCCAATAAGAGATCTTTGTGTTGGTTTCTAAGCCTACACGTAAGCAACGAAATGGCCACAAACATACATTATAAATTTATAACACTGGTAATTAAGTTATTTGTACAAATGCCTTCTTTTTTTCTTGTTATTTATAAAAACAAATTATTTACAATTTTTTCAATATTATTCGTCCAAATAGACATTTTTCTTTTTCTTGAAGGCTTGAAGTACAAAACAAACAGAACTTTTAAACACAACTGGTAAAGATCCTAGGCGAAGTTTAGAGGTAGCCGATTCGTGTGACATTTGGAACAAAACTAATATTATATGTTGTGGTTTCGGACCTGAGAGAATTACAGATTTTGTTCCATAACTTCCTTGTTTAAAAAAAAAAAAATATACCACCGGTAAAACAGCTTTAAAATTTTTTAAAAAAAATAAATAAATAAAAATAGTACTATATTATTTCATTATCCTGTCATATGTTTCAATTTAATAATAAATAAATAATAATTAAAAAAGATTGGTACACATTGCAACGGATAAACTAAATAAGAGCCTTTCATTTTCTTTGCCTCCTCACCTTCTTCCCAAAATATAAACACTCTCTTCACAAAATCTCCACTCTCCCCCAAATTCACCCAAAAAAACCCTAATTTTTCCTCTCCTTCAATGGCGATTTCATCACCCGCCGCTACTTCATCCTCCTCAAAACTCCTCAATTCCTTCACTTCTCCATCAATCTCCACCATTAAACCAAAATCCCTAACTCTCTCTTCCTCTTTCCTCCCACCAATCACATCTCTCTCCATCACCACAACCACAACAACAACAACATCTTCCTCCCCTCACCGTCTCCGTCGCGCCTTCACCGTACGCGCCGCGAGAGGAAAATTCGAACGCAAGAAACCTCACGTCAACATCGGAACAATCGGCCACGTCGACCATGGCAAAACAACACTAACCGCAGCTTTAACAATGGCTTTAGCTTCAGTAGGAAACAGTGTAGCGAAAAAATACGACGAAATCGACGCAGCTCCTGAAGAAAGAGCTCGTGGTATCACAATCAACACTGCAACAGTCGAATACGAAACAGAGAATCGTCATTACGCTCATGTTGATTGTCCTGGTCATGCTGATTATGTCAAGAACATGATTACTGGTGCTGCTCAAATGGATGGTGCGATTCTTGTTGTGTCTGGTGCTGATGGACCAATGCCACAAACTAAAGAACATATCTTGTTGGCGAAGCAAGTTGGTGTTCCTGATATGGTTGTGTTTCTTAATAAAGAAGATCAAGTTGATGATGCTGAGCTTTTAGAGCTTGTTGAGCTTGAGGTTCGCGAGCTTTTATCGTCTTACGAGTTTAATGGTGACGATATTCCGATTATTTCGGGTTCTGCTTTGTTAGCTGTAGAGACTTTGACTGAGAAACCTAATGTTAAGAGAGGGGAGAATAAATGGGTAGATAAGATTTATGAGTTGATGGATTCTGTTGATAGTTATATCCCGATTCCGACTAGGCAGACGGAGTTACCGTTTTTGTTGGCGGTTGAGGATGTTTTTTCGATTACTGGTCGTGGTACGGTTGCTACTGGGCGTGTGGAAAGAGGTTGTGTTAAGGTTGGGGAGACTGTTGATTTGGTGGGATTGAGAGAGACTAGGAATTATACGGTTACCGGGGTGGAAATGTTTCAGAAGATTCTTGATGAAGCTATGGCTGGTGATAATGTAGGATTGTTGCTTAGAGGTATACAAAAGGCTGATATTCAGAGAGGTATGGTTTTGGCTAAGCCGGGTTCGATTACTCCGCATACTAAGTTTGAAGCGATTGTTTATGTTTTGAAGAAAGAAGAAGGTGGAAGACATTCGCCGTTTTTCGCTGGGTATAGACCTCAGTTTTATATGAGGACTACCGATGTTACAGGAAAAGTGACTAAGATTATGAATGATAAGGATGAGGAATCGAAGATGGTTATGCCGGGTGATCGAGTTAAGATTGTTGTTGAGCTTATTGTGCCTGTTGCTTGTGAACAAGGGATGAGGTTTGCTATTAGAGAAGGAGGTAAGACTGTTGGTGCTGGAGTGATTCAGTCGATTATCGAATGAGAAATTAGCGGGTAAAAGAGAGTTTCGCTATAGCGAGCTTTTGTTCTTGCTTCTTTTTGTTTGGTTTTTTGGGTTTCTTATGATTCAGGAACTCTTGGAAATTTGAATTGCAATTAATTAGTGTTATTTTTTCTCTTTTTTTCCACCATTTTGTATGAAAAACTCAGATTTAAAAATGTCATATATTCTTTGGTTTCAACCTGAATTCAAAGCTCAAGTTTATATGCTTAGACAGTGTGTTTGTATTATCGAAAGGTCGCAATATGTCAAGATAAAGAATATATGACTGATCACAATCAGAACTTGACCTATTTTTGAAGAAGTTTTGTTTCTCATCTCTCGATCATATATTCTTTCTCTTGACTTTAGACTCATATTTATGTAAATGGGGAGGAAACGTTTCACGGAAGAATGAAATAAACCAAAATATTAAAAAAGAAAAACAAGTTGATTCTTTATATTTCTCCACTAGTCAATAATACTCAATAATCATTACCCTTAACAATTTACTTATAAGTTGTTGTACATTGACCATTCTTCTTTACAAAGTATAGTGACAAAAGTAGTTCAGGATTTTCAGATCCGTTCTTAGATCCAATCTTGTTATCCATTGTTTCATTTTCATAGTAGCTCCTTACAAATTTGAATCCGTAATTCGTGATCTAAAATATATTTGAAGTTCATAGATCTCTCTTTGCCCCAAAAAAGAAAAGTTCATAGATCATGATCCGAGTTTTTTTTTTGGTAGAATGTGAAAATATAATATAAATAAATATTTTTCTAATGTATTTTGAGAAAAAAATTAAAAATAAAAAAATTTGGTTAAAGAAAGCCAACTTTGTTTTTTGAAATCATCAATTTTTGTTGACTTTTCATTTTAATCACGGATTTTTTTATTTACTGTTCATTTTAATCACAATGTTTTGTTAACGGAGCCAATTTAGTTTAGAGTAATTACACTATATACCCTAAGACTGAAAAGTATTTAAGTCAAAGGAGAAGTGGCAAACCTGTAAATAAATATCATCTGAAAACATGATAAAAAGACTAAAATACCCCCAAAATCACACTTCCTTATTTCTTCTTCCTTCTTCGTTTCTCTTTCTTTTTATTATTTTTTTTTTTCTTTTTTTTTTTTTCTTTACTTTATGATAACCCCAAATAAATGATTCTTCTTAATTGTGAAACTGATTGCATCTAAAATTATGATATTTTGAATTCATTAAACTTGTCACATTTTTCTGATTAAAATGAACTCAATAAACCTTAAAAAAATTTCGATATAAAGACGTCGTATGTTTGGGTGTCGTTCGTTCGTGATTTGAGACACCGTCAACCGACGACGCTAAGAACAAATAACGTTTTTCACTACAGCTACTGGGATTATTGTGGGTTATGCTTATTTCTTGATGACTTCAAGAGACCCGACGTATCAAGATTTCATGAAAAGGTTGTTTCTTTCTAGGCAGAGGAAGACGCTAAGAACAAATAACTTTTTTCACTACAGCTACTGGGATTATTGTGGGTTATGCTTATTTTTCGTGCCACGCAAATGCATCGATTCAGAATCGTATTCTTTGCAGAGTCGTCATAGAGATTGATTGGTTTTTTATGATCCAACATCAGTTTCTGGTTTTTCTAACCATTCTCTTTTTGATTATATATCATGATATATAGTGATATATCGGGAAATACACATGTGTCTTACCAGGAAACACATGGTAAGACATTTTCGGAGGCAAAATTCCCGCTATTTATTCCAGGGGTAAATTCGTCCGATTTTTTCGAAACCAAAGATTTCTCTCTCTTGTTTTGCAAAGAATAAAAGTTGTGTATGTACAAGCTAATTATTTCTCAAATAATTAGCATACAGCTAATTGACTCTTTAGTTTATACAAATATAAATTACTTTCCAATGTTTTAAGAGAATAAATATGTTCTAACAATGAAAATAATTAAAAACACAAAATATATAATATAGATGGCGACAGAAGAAATTTCATTATTTCAAACAAGGGAAATATCACGTAAGGATGATTGACTGTAAATTGATTAAAAAACAGCAGAAAACAATTAAAATATCATTCAATTTAGAAAAAGAACTGAAATCGGAAAGAAAATTAATATTTGCCGTAATCTATGTCGGCGATAGGATCATCATCAGTGTCACGTCCACCAGCTTGATGACTCTGTGATGATCTTACTGGTCCTTGACTCTTATAACCCATCATTTTCCTCCCTTCATTTTTATTTAATTTAAAAATAGTTAGACGTTGTAGATTAATGAGATTACTTGTCTTATTTATTCACATATACAGACACTACTGAGTAAAACAAAACATCTTAAACTAAGTATTATGTAAGTAATTTGTATAAAGTTATATTGATAAGCAATATTTAACAATGAAGTAATGGATTGGTACACGTACTCATATATCAGTTTAGGTGTTCCATAACTTTCTATATATGTTAGATCCTAATTATCATGGACACAAATACATCTTTAAAATGTTTTAACAAGTCCTAAACTATTTTCCATGTAATTAGACAATGATTCATGGATCTTCTCCATCAATCAACAATTATACAAACTTATCTATATCTGCGTATATGTACATGTGTGTGCATGGATATTATGCATGAACAGAAACACAAA